TGTTTGCTCAACAGATGGAGTTAGTGTGTACTTCTTGCATTTTTATCCAATAGGGAAGGAAGGTGTCTATTTCAAGGTGTTAAATTTGTAACGACTAAAAAACGGTAGCTCCATAAATTAACACGCTTATTTCTCTTAAATATCTAGAAAACATCTACGAACATTATGTTAAACATTATTTTAAATATATCAATAGGTACATCTAAAAGTAGAGTAGAACTTATATTTTTGACAGAGATAACATTAATAGTTTTTTTTTTAAAAGGACAGGACGGCAAACGAGTTCTCGAAGTACCGGTAACACCAGAGGAACTATACCTAAATACGTATCAATCAATCAAATCATTGATTTAAATTAAATTAAGTTGTTAGCAGATACAGATCCGACCATATTAGGTACCTACGTCTCGAGGCATGCAAATTATAAAATTACAAAAATGGCGGCATCACAACATTATTTGAAGAAAATATAATACATTCAAAATTTTACTATCAACACAATTATTGTATTATAAGTGTAATTAAATTATAATGTCATCAATTCAATTAAAAAATGTAATGTCATTATTCAAATTTGTCAATTAAAATGTCAAAATAAGATGCAATAAAAATGTCATTTATGGACATGTCATGAAATGAAAGAAAGATTACAAAAACAAAAAATGTACAAATTAAAAACACAGATAAACCAATCAGAGAATTAGAAACACAATTACATAGTATTATCGTTTAAAAAATCATCTACTACTCTAGAGTAGAGACTCTTTTTAAACTTACGTAACCGGTCTTTTAGGATTTAGGGATTTCAGTATAGGTAACTTTGGAAATTGGGATATCCGGCCCTATCGCGCCGAATGACTCTTCCACACTTAGCGCGATAGATGGCAGCACTGTGCTGCGGCTCTGCTTCACGCCTTATTCCATCTTGATATAGGTATCGGTTGCTGAAGCAGATGAATTACCTGGAAATAAAGATAAGAAACATTTCAAAATAAAACTAATATTATAAACAGGTAACATTTGTAAGTTTGTATGTTTGTAAGTTTGTATGTAGGTAATCTTTGGAACCGCTGGTCTGATTGCCAAAATTCTTCTTTCACTGACAGATAGCTACAATGTTCCTGAGTGCTATAGGCTATAAAACACCGCGGCGAGAGTAGCTAGTTTCAAAATATAATGAAAAAAGTTATAACTAAATTATAAAAAAAAAACAAAGTCGCTTCCTCTGTCCTTATATCCCTATAATTGCTTTTTTGTTTTTTATTGTCATTAGAACATCATCAAATGACTTCTCCCGCCCAGGGTCGGGCGGGAGGGAGCGTCAGACTCTTACTGACTAAAAACTCCCCCGTGCCTTCTCCTTCTCTGGGCCGAGGCCGCGGTGGCCCATTGCGCTTAACCTGCAACCCCGGCTGAACATCAGCCCTATAGGGCCCCGTCTGTGGTGGTCTATTGGCCCTTTGAAGCGCGCGCAGAACGCTAAGCGCCGTACGCTCGGGTCTGGTTTTGGTCGGATGGCTACTCATACTCGCCCTCCGCAGACCCGCACTTACGGTGGAGATCATCTCTCGAACCTCGACGCCCGGAATGTCGCCTACTGCGGCGGCTGGGGCGCAAGGAAGACAGTTTCCTTACGCGCTCCGCCTGCTTTGCGAGCATCACTGCTTCGCAGACGGCGTCTTGCCGCTGCTATAAGAGCGTGCCCGATGTATGCTTAAATCTTTAAAACTGGACGGATTTCGATGAATTTTTGAATTGAAAGAGGAAGGTTTATATGTATAATATCATTCATTAAATAGTAGAGAAATTGCACAGCCAGCATTGCACTTAAGATTCTTTCCTTCTTTTTTGAATTAGGTGTTTTTTATTGAGCTTACAGTATATCGTTCGCGACTCAGGAATATGAGTCTTAAGCTTAGTGCGTAGATTGCAAGCGAATTCGCTGTACCAGTATCGATCGGGGTTGCGGGGCAAACGCAATGAGGCACCACGCCCTCGGCCTAGAGCAGGAGAAGGAACGGGGTGAGGAGGGGTCTTGTCAGTCTCTCGCAAAAAAAGTACTAAGATTGGCAAGAATATCCGAAATTACCGCCACGCGAGCGGTCAACTTGTCAGAATTAAGTGTTATCATAATTACTAGCCCGATAAGGTATGAGAATTAATTTCCATGCTTGCTCGACGTGGATTGGCGAATTCAAAACTTATAACTAAAAATAGAAGCTATAAGACTTGATTTCCCCAAGTCCTTTCCACCATCGTATGACCAGACAATCTGCAAAATGGCATCGCTTTATAGTGGATATCCCACCTACACGCACGGAGCGGTTCGTTAGCAGTTTTATTATCAGAACCGCTAAGAACTAGGATTCTTTGCCGGAGTCTGTGTCCCCCGAAACCCTTCGGAGAACACAAACCAAGCCTTAAGGACACCCAGGTTATATGTATAACCATGAGTGATATGAGTGAATAGGTTGCTTACATGGTAGGTGTACATAATACTAGGTCGCATCAGCGCTTGAATTAAAAAAAATCAAACTTGTATAACTAAGCGTTGATGTCATGCGAAGTCGGGGCGGATCGCATTCGCTACTAACATAATAATATAATGATAAATAGCTTACCAGCTTCAGTAGCAGTGGCAGCAGAAGTCTCGGAAGTCTTCGCTTTTATCGACTTCTTTGGTCTTCTCCTGTATCTGATCGGGCAACAGACGGTGTAATGGCCTTTTTCGTTACAAAAGTTGCATGTAGTTAATCTAACTTTTTTAGCATTCGCACCAGTCCGAATTCGGAAAGGCATCACGATATGTTCCATTCTCTCTTTCTGTATTTTTTTAGCCAATGGGGAGCGGCAATATGGCGATTTATGGCCTTTTTCATTGCAAATAAGACATTGGTCTTCCTCACTGGGTTTCTCAGTGCTCTCCATGTTATTGCTCGCAGGGGAATTATTGGCACTTGGCAAGCTCTTGTTATTGTAAGACCAGTCTTTCATTTCCTGGCTCAATCTTCTCCACGATTCGAAATTAATTGTTTTTGCCAATTTCAAAACGCGTGAATCGAACTTCGAGATGTGTGAGACGACAAAGGACATTGCTATTTGTTCTCTCGTCAAATTGTTCCACTTGTACAACAGACCAGTCACGAGGTTCTCCGCGTAAGGTGCCAAACTCTCATTCTCTTTTGGAGTACTTTCGTATAATTTCATTAGATAACTCGCGGGTGTGGATGGAGTAGAATACTGTTCTTTAAAGAGCGCTTTGAAATCGTCCCACTTCATTCCAGTCGAGGATAAAGAGCTGAACCAGTACGCGGCATCTCCCTTGAGGGCGTGGCTCAAGGCAGCCATTAGAGATGGTCCTTCTTGATGTTCCGGAGTTATTCTACTATCCGCAGTTGATAACCAGGTATTAGGGTCATTATCGTCCATCCCAGGGTTGAAATCAGGGAGGGTTAAAGTACCACTTGACGATTGCGGACGCAATACTTCAATCAGTTTCGCTAGTAGATTGTTTTGTTGCTCCAAGATAGTTGTCCATTTATCTTTATCGGCACTATTGTCTTTGACAGAACATGCTTCGCTCGTATCCTCATTGGTGTGCACGTCGATATTTTGAGACACGCTCGGGTTGTATAATAATTCGAAACACGGAAGCGCGTATGTTCCATCGTCAGAAGCATCTATCGCTTCTATACGTGATGTATGCAATTCATACGACATGGTGACATATGACAACGAAAGGAAGTAATAAAACAGCAATAAATTATCACGAAACTGATGGAGATATCAATCGATTTGGGCGGAAACGCGACTGCGTGGAACGCAGCGTCTGTCGGGCGCGTCTTTACCCCTACCGGCTGTAAATTGTACTAACGCGCGCTCCCGACGCATTCCCGTCGTACGAAAACGTCAATATCAGAAGGATCTCTCGTTTTATTTAACAAAGAAAATTAGTAATATCTCATAACGATATCATGAACAAAACGTTAATTAGAAGGCACATTATTGTTATAAATTTCGACCAAATTTTTTATAACTTCAAGTTTAAACGCATATAAGTAAAAGGAACGATCCCTTCTTCAATCCTCAAATCCCCTATCCTTAAATCCCGAATAATCCACAAGGCGCCGGCAACGCATTTGTTTTGGCACTACGAGTGTCCATTGGCGGCGCTAATTGCTTACCATCAGGTAATCCGTCTGCTCGTTTGCCGACCTATAACATAAAAAAAGAAAACACGCTAGGTCATTTCCAAAAAATGCCTTAGTGTTATTGGCATCTGTCAATTTAGTTACGGTGATTGTAAAAAAAGTCATAAGAGGGCAGCATTGTGCTAACACAATGCGTCATAAATTATATTTTTATTCTACTTTTAAACATATATTATATTAGTCTATCGCAATGTAATATAAAGAAAACAAAATAAAAAAACGTAGTTCCAAAACTGCTTGTGCTTCGGCCTGATGAAAGAAGAAGTGTAGGCTCTTAACTATACTATCAAAAAGGACTAAAAAAACTTCTGCATTTATAATACTTCTTACTAAGGAAAATGATAGGTAATTAATATGTGTACAAATATTATATCAAACATTGAAATATTGATCGTGACCTGCGCAGCTGCGTCAGAACATTCTAGAATTTTGCATTCAGTACGACCTCTGCAGAAGGTCTACCGCACAGAACGACTTAGAAGAACATTCAGAGTCTGTGTTCTCCGAAGAGATAATAGCTAGGTCGCTTATATTTAGGTCTACTGTAGGTCGCATTTTCGCTTACCACTAGGCATGATAGCGCGCAAATGCCTGCCCAAAAAGACCATGGTCTTCACTAGCGCTATCTGGTAATCGGAACAGACCGTAGTTCCAATTGAACTGGCGGTGTGCCCTGCCCAGGCAGGCCACTAAGACCAATCTTGGTGGCGGCGCCTATCTCGCGTCCAGCCTTAGTCGAGGCCATGGTGTGGAGCGAGAGGAACTACGCCGTCTCCTTTTTCTTCAAAGATGGAGGCGGAGCGCGTCATGTGGGTATCCTCCTCTAGAGATGATCTCCGGCCACCGTAAGCGCGGGTCTGCGGACGGCGACTAAGAGTAGCTCGCCGCCCGACCAGAACCTGACCCGAGCGAACGGCGCGTAGCTCAAAGAGCCAATAGACCACCACAGACGGGGCCCTATAGGGCTGATGTTCAGCCGGGGTTGCGGGTTAAGCGCAATGAGTCACCGTGGTCTCTTCTCAAAGCAGGAGAAGGACCGGGGGGTTTTTAGTCATTAAGAGTCTGACCTCCCTCTTAACCTACCCAGGGAGTGAGAAGACATCTGACTCAATAGAAAACAAGGAAAGAAGACTGTCTCCACTATGATGTGGCTAAACGCCTGAAAATTAAACCTTCTGAATCCCTTGTTGGAACACTAGTAGTATAAATAAGAACTGCATACATTATATATCATACACCGAAGGACTAATTGTGACCTGCGCAGTGCCGACAGAATATTCTAGAATTGTGCACTGAATGCAACGCTTGCAGAAGTTCCATGTGACTTGGAGAGCGAAAATATTTTTTTTATATGATAGGTCGGCAAGCGAGCATATGGATTAGATGATGGTAAGCAATCAGCGCCGCCCATGGACATACGCAATAACAGAGGAGTTACGAGTGCGTTGGCCACCTTTAGGGGATTAGGGATTTGGAGATTTAGGGATTGGGGGAGGGGAAGGATTGTGCTTCCGGTAACCTCACTAACACGGCGAAATACAACACTGTGATTGTTTCACGACGGTTTTCTGCAAGGCCTTGGCCTATCATTTCGGTCGAGCCAACCCATTCGTGCCGAAGCATGGCTCTCCCACACTTTAGGTTTTTTTTAACCTAGCAAGAAAAACAGTAGGTATGACATACATAATGTAGTATAGAGTCTAGAAATATTTAATGTAATTTCAACTAAAGTTTACAAAGTCGGTCGGCAAACGAGCACACGGATTACCTGATGGTAAGCAATCAGCGCCGCCCATGGACACCCGCAACGGAGGAGTTATGAGTGCGTTGCCTACCTTTTAGGGATTTTTTGGTGTCGGGTTGGAAAATCCTCATGGAGACCCACCGCCCTCGGGTAAGGGCGAAGGGTACTGTCAGACTCTTACTGACTAAAAACCAACCCGGTGTTCCTCCAATAACCCATGTGTCGGAGGGGCGGGTATAGCCGAAGCATTCGTCGCAACCCCCCGACGGGTATTGGCCCGCCAGATGGTACCACTACCTACCACTAAGGCCTGGCGGAGTTCTGCCCTGCGTGTCTCAACCTGTCGAGGCACCAGGCCCTCGCCCCGCTCGACTGCCTCCGCACGCCACGAATAGAGTGACGCGAGGAGCTTTGCGTCGAGGTCCCAGGGCGGGGATCCGGCTAGGAGGCTCGCTACCTCAAAGGAGATCGTACGGTATCCCCTTATTATCCTGACGGCCATCGCGCGCTGTGGCCTTCGCAGCGCGGCGATGTTGTGAGCCGTCAGGGCTCCCGCCCACATTGGCGCGGCGTATAACGCCATCGACCGTACGACCCCCATGTAGAGCCTCCGGGAGGAGTAGATGGGCCCCCCCTGGTTGGGCAGCAAGCGCGACAAAGCAGCAGCGGCGCCCATCAACCGGGGGGCGAGCCGTGTAAAGTGCGGCCCGAAATTCCACCGACTGTCGAGAACGAGTCCGAGGTACTTCATCGTGGACTCAACAGCGATGGAAACCCCTCCTACTATGATGCTGGACCCCTGAGGCGGCTTCATCCTCGACCCATGAAAACACAGGGCCTCCGATTTGTGCAATGCCACCTCTAGGCCCAGCCGCCGGATCCTACCCACGACGTGCACGACACCAGCAGTCGCGCGTATGGCCGCCTGCCAGTACGACTTCCCACGCGCTGTAACTAGCGTATCGTCGGCGTAACAAATGACGCCGACGCCGTGGAGTAGCGCACCGCGCAGAGCCCAGTCGTAGCCAACGTTCCACAAGAGCGGCCCCAACACCGAACCTTGCGGAACGCCGTACGACGTCTCTCGCCGACCCCATCCTCCTCGACCCGGGTACACCACCGACCTGACCGACAAATAGGCCCCGACAATGCGTTGGAGGTAGCGCGGCACCCCGTGATACCGGAGTGCCTCTCGGATGGTACTCCAGGGCAAGAAATAAGAAATAGAAAGAAATAATTTTATTTGCACAACCTGGACACAGATACAAAAGTAGATAAAAAAAAAACCCGTAAAAAATTAATCAAAACAAAAATAATAATAAAAAAAAAAACAGTGATGTGTGTCTCAGCGTTGGACAAATAGGCCCAGTTCAGCTTCGATGCCAGGCGGTTATTGCCTGGCGCTGGTTTTCAACTGGACCTTCAAGTGATCAGATCACGGATGTAACCAGTCCCTGATAATATATTATAACATTAAAGAATTAAATAAAAGTAAACAGATAAATATAAATGCTAAATTGGTGATAAATAAATATGTGTTGTGTCGTGTGATTTGAGTAGGTGTGTATGTGTGAGTGTAATTGAATATGATAGCGGACAACAAAACTAGGATCGCAATACAAGCGAGTCAAAAACCTGTTTCATTTATCTAACTAAGAGACAATAAATATCAACAGACCGATATTTTGCTCCCCTCGCAACCCAATACGCAACAGGCATCCGTGCGCAATGGACTGCTGTTTGATTTTTTTAAATCTAAATTATGGTGGTAGAATGAAAATCTATGGCGATAGAATAATTACATTAAAATAAGTATTTTTGTGAAATATTGAATATACTGCTATGAGAAGGTGTTAGAAAGAAGGTAATAGGGTAAGGTAAGTTTTGTGAAACAATGATATTAATTCTATTATAAATAAATCATACTACTTTCCTACGTATAAAAATTGTAATTCTATTTTAGATACACCCAGCCATCAAAGGTGCAACACCACATCATCTCGGCCACCTATATTTATAGTAGTAGGGTGAAAACTATTGTGATCCCGACACTGCTTGACCGCTCGGCACCAGTCGCCACGCAAGTAGGCTACATACCACGGGTGAGTTAAGAATATAAACGGTTTTTACACATCTGCAATAGTTACGATGATTTGCAGGTATCTTATTATTATTATTTTTATATTTTTATAGGTCTCACCATGCGCGATTGGTACGATTACGGTGCAGCATTGGATGTCACAACAGACACCCTCTAATCGGGAATGCTGAGGACAGACAATTGCCGAATAAGCAGCAGGGAGCCGCGCATGCACATAATATGATAAGTGAGCTAGATGTTGTATTTAAATAATTGATACGTTTTGATTTAGCATGTCTAATTCCCTTTGTGCGTCCACCAGAAACTGCCGTAGGCGTCTTCTAAAAGAATCTATTGTGTTTAGTTCCCTAATAGGCGGTGGCAGATTATTCCAAACTTTTGATGCCGCGTAACGGAAACTGCCTCGAAATGCCGCTGTTCTGTGTGTCTGGGTCGAAAGTTGTTGAGAACATAGTCTCCTCCCGCATTCTCGTCTAGCCGTTACCCAACATAACTTATTGTTAATCTGGTTTTTGATATTTAATTACACCGTACAGAAGGCAAGCTAAGTGTAATTTGCGTCGCGATTTCATTTTTAAAACATATTTTTTATTAAGAAACGGCGTAACATGAACTCTGGGAGGAATACTATAGCAAAACCGAGCGCAAGCGCTTTGTACTCGTTGTATGAGTCTATCTGTTCGTGCTAGTAGTCGCGGGCCATATACTGTGTCTGCATAATTTAATTTGGACAAGACCAGGGTTTCTACTAGTTGCTCTCGAAGCCGCTCGGATAAATAAGGTCTCATTTTATATAAAACCTTAAGGCGGTAAAAACAGTTACGTACCGAGTCCGCTATATGCTTCTCAAAACGAAGACCAGTATCCATTACAAGGCCAAGATTACGCGCCTCATACACTCTATCAATTGGTCCCCCCTTTAATTTTATATTGAATGAATTGGGTAAAAATGGGTGAATTGGGCAAGGTGTTGAAAGCGTTAGCGATGTCGAGCGACACCGCCAAGACCACCTCACCCCGGGCGACTTCCTCCTCTGCCAGGACCCTCACGCGCATGATCGCATCCACTGTGGAGCGCCCCTGGCGGAAACCAAATTGGTTGTCCGCCAAATCCGGCCCCACCCTGATTATGTGCTGGACGAGGCGGCCGGCAATGATCCGCTCGAAGATCTTACACACCTCGTCCAGCAACACGATCGGCCTGTACGCAGATGGGGAGTCTGCGGGGCGCCCCGCCTTCTTCAGCAGGACCAGCTTTCTGGTCTTCCACCGGCTTGGAAACTGGCCACGCTCCAAACATGCGCTTAAGAGCCCCGCTAATCGGGGCCGGAGTGATCTCAAAGCCTGAAGCTAGCTCGAGCCACCGCCACTCTCAACTCTATCCGGGTCACTTCGGGCACATCGTCGTCAGTTTCGTTGTCCGCGTCGAATCATGAGTCGGAACCATAGCCGGTGGTGTGTGCTCCGGTCTTGTCGGAAACAACGCACACACCACCTCCTTCAGCAGCTGCGGCTGGAGACTCCGGGATAGTGGGGGGGGGGCCCATTGGCGCAACTTGCGCCGTACCATAAGGTAGGGGCGTCCCCACGGATCTCGGTCCAGAGTCTTCAGCAGCTCTGCATTGGCCTGGGCCTTTGTCCGGACAATGGCCAGCTGGAGAGCGCTTTTCGCCTCTCTGTAGTGTTTGTACAGTTCCACCTCTTCCTGTTCGGCCGCCGCTGTAAAGGGGCGGCGACGTCTTCTTCGGAACCTTGCATACTGGCGTCGCACCTGCACACAAGTGATGCGTAGTTGCGCAATCGACTGCGACCACCAGTATACTTGGCGCCTGGATGGTAGCGGCCGGACTCGGGGCATGCTGGCGTCGCAGATGTGCGACATGCTCTCCCGGAACCACTCTGCCTCATCGTCGATGTCACTAGGCCTGTCTGGAGAGAGAAACCAGGCCTTGACAATAGAAGCCTCCAGGAGAGCCTCCCTGTCCAGTCGCTTTAACGCCCAACGCGGACCATCTCCAACGCCCACCGGGGTCGCTTTGACCGGCCCAACCAAGGTCTGGGCAGAGACGCTGAATCGAATATATCGATGGTCAGACAGCGTCTCTACCTCCTCCAAGACGTGCCAGTCCTGGACAGTGCGTGCGAGAATGGGGCTAGCAAAGGACAGGTCCACTATTTTTTTTTTTTTTTTTTTTTTTTTTGGTGTCGGTTTGGAAAATCCTCATGGAGACCCACCACCCTCGGGGAAAGGGCGAAGGGTACTGTCAGACTCATACTGACTAAAAACCAACCCGGTGTTCCTCCACTTACCCATGTGTCGGAGGGGCGGGTATCGCCGAAGCATTCGTCGCATCCCCCCGACGGGTATTGGCCCGCCAGATGGTTAGGCGGGCCCCGTCACCCACTGCGGCCGTCAGCCCCGACCGCAGGACTCCATTATGAGGCGCGCGCGGAACACGGTGCCGCCGCCTCGAGGCCTGCTGCTGGTCGGACGACAAGACGCCCCGAGTCTGTCGTCCGCAGGCCGCACCCTACGGTGGCCGCAGGTCGGCCACCCTACGACGTCTAGTGCGTCTGCTGCGGGAGGGGAGAGAGGAGGCAGCCTCTCTCTCCCTTTCCGCCGCCTCCTTTGCGAGCATCACGGCTTCGCAGAAGGTAGCGACGGCACTCCACCCTGACTCGCTCCCGACCATAGCAGACACTACAGCCGGAAGCGAGAGATTTCCCGCAGCACCTACGGCCGCGACCACGTCCCGGCGCTGCTCGGCCCAAGCTGGGCACTCCACCAAGGTATGCAGCGCCGTATCATCGCGGCAATCACCACAATGGTGGCACTGAGACGTCGGCTCCCGACCTATGCGACACAGGTACTTCCCAAAACACCCATGTCCAGTAAGCACCTGCGTCAGCCGGAAACTGAGGGCGCCGTGGCTCCTATTGAGCCACTCCTCTAGAAAGGGCCTTACAGCCGCTATAGCGGCGTGCCCCGCCGTGGGTTGCGCTAAACGCGTCTGCCACTCCGCCACTAAGGCCTGACGGAGTTCTGCCCTGCGTGCCTCAACCTGTCGAGGCACCAGGCGTTCGCCTCGCTCGACTGCTTCCACGCGCCACCAATAGAGCGACGCGAGGAGTTTTGCGTCGAGGTCCCAGGGCGGGGATCCGGCTAGGAGGCTCGCTGCCTCAAAGGAGATCGTACGGTATCCCCTTATTATCCTGACGGCCATCGCGCGCTGTGGCCTTCGCAGCGCGGCGATATTACGGGCCGTCAGGGCGTCCGCCCACACTGGCGCGGCGTATAACGCCATCGACCGTACGACCCCCATGTAGAGCCTCCGGCAGGAGGAGATGGGCCCCCCCTGGTTGGGCAGCAAGCGCGAACAGGTCCACTATAGACCTAGGTCCACTCACTTAAGTTGTAGTTCTAGAAATTAAGTAAAAATGTGCTACAGCATGCTTTTTATGAAATAAAAAAATATTATTATTAATTATGATTATTTTCAGCCCATTTTAACAATGTTTCGAAAAACTAAATATACCGTGTGTGAGTTCCAAGTTTTACTAAAAGTTAGTCGGCAGTTTCCTTGTTTTGAATTGGAAAGTATAGTATATTATTATTTGAAACAACGCATTTGAGTACAATTTTAATATTTTTTTTGAGCTCTCTGTATTATTTCTGCATTGTATTGCATTCGCACAGAGAGAATAATGGATGTACACTGTAACTTAGCACCACATAATCATCACTCTTTTTGTTTTTATAGAATCAGGTGGTACTTTGCGGAAATCCAAAACATTAAATGTTAGGAATAATATTTCATTTTAATTCCGCGCCAAAAATCCAGGGTTATTGCAGGATGCAATCCCACCCCACGCAATCATTCATATGCACATGCAACAAAGGTCCCACCCTCCCACATGCATATGCACACGTGCAAAAATTGGAAAAACATGCCACGCAATCAAACCTATACTCGACACGTGTTTCGCCCCTTTACAGGGCATTCTCAGAAGATCCTCCTGAGGATTGCATGGGGTGGGATGGCCCCTGCAACAAGCCTGGATTTTTGTCGCGGAATAAAAACTAAATATTTTTCGTAATATTTATCACCCTTTAATTTTATGAAGGAGTAATGGTCCTATCAGTGGGAGAGCTAAGCTTCGGCACGAATGGGTCGGCTCGAACGGAGTTACACCACCACTTCGTAGAAAATCGGCATAAAACGTGAGGTTTCCGAAGGCTCAACCCTATTTACATATCAAAGGACTACTAGTATTTTATTACACTCCACGGTTGGCGCAGTGGCTGGCGTAACGTGTCACGGGTTAGATTTCCGAACGGAACAACTCTGTGTTTGATCCACAGATTGTTGTTCCGGGTCTGCGTGTGATGTGTATGTGAATTTGTATGTTTGTAAACGCACCCACGACACAGGTCAAAATCACAGTGTGGGACAAAGTTCTTAAAAAAAAGTATCTACTAAAATTTATAATAACATGCGTTTGATAAAAGGTTTTATGCCGTCCACGTCCGTGTAACATTTACATAACATTTCCGATAGATGTCGCTACAAATCTGTAACCAAATCCCTATATATTACAGTGTCACGACCATCTCTTGTAGAAATTGCATTGTATGTACATCTGTTATCGAAGTATTGATCCTGACCTGCGCAGTGCAGCTAGACTGATCTAGACTAGACTTGTGTGCCCAGTGCGTTGCGTGCCGCTCACCGGTCAGGATATTTCGCGTGTACTAGTCGTCCTGGGGACAGTATAGGGCTCCGCCCTTGTCTCCAACCTCCGCTGAAGGCGAAGGTTAGTATTCAAACATTGCTTTCTTTTTCTTCATCAATGTTAATTATCTTTGAGATATCAATGGTTGAGGTGGGGGTAAATCGGGTAGGGGGGTCTAGGCGTGGTTATTCGATCCCTGCGATTTTACTTTGCGCCTTCGAAACAAGTTAGAATATTATTGGAATATGTGCAACTAGAAATTTAAGTAATTTTATACCTAGTTAATTTAAGTCATTAAGTTATGTTTAAACCAAATTAAAAATAAATTTTTGACTTATTTTTCACTAAGTAATTTCATTCATTCATTAAAATAATGTTTTTTGTGTCTTAGTTACAAGAATACAGCACACAAGGTAAGGGTAAGGGTAAGGGTAAGGGTAAGGGTAAGGGTAAGGGTAAGGGCAAGGGTAAGGGTAAGGGTAAGGGTAAGGGTAAGGGTAAGGGTAAGGGTAAGGGTAAGGATAAGGGAAAGGGTAAGGGTAAGGGAAAAGGAAAGGGTAAGGGTACGGGTACGGGTAAGGGTAAGGGTAAGGGTAAGGGTAAGGGTAAGGGTAAGGGTAAGGGTAAGGGTAAGGGTAAGGGTAAGGGTAAGGGTAAGGGTAAGGGTAAGGGTAAGGGTAAGGGTAAGGGTAAGGGTAAGGGTAAGGGTAAGGGTAAGGGTAAGGGTAAGGGTAAGGGTAAGGGTAAGGGTAAGGGTAAGGGTAAGGGTAAGGGTAAGTGTAAGGGTAAGGGTAAGTGTAAGGGTAAGGGTGAGGGTAAGTGTAAGGGTAAGGGTAAGGGTAAGGGTTAGTGTAAGGGTAAGGTTAAGGGTAAGGGTAAGGGTAAGGGTAAGGGTAAGGGTAAGGGTAAGGGTAAGGGTAAGGGTAAGGGTAAGGGTAAGGGTAAGGGTAAGGGTAAGGGTAAGGGTAAGGGTAAGGGTTAGTGTAAGGGTAAGGTTAAAGGTTTATGGTAACTGTCAAAGGTAAACAAATGTGGTATAGGTCATATTTATGTCTTCGTCATCATCATCATCATCATCATCATCTAGTTTTACTACGCCGCGAGATTTTATGAGCTATATTGGTGAGTCTGGTGTGGTAAGGTAAGAGTTTATGGGTAAGAACTTATGGGTAATAGGTAATAATATGGAAAATCAAATTGGGTAATTGTGTCGGCTAAGCACATTAGTTAGCTACGTAAAAAAGGGAAAAGGTATGACATGATGGTAAGGCGTAAGAGTGAGTAACTTTAATACATATCATGACAAAAATTACCTCACAATATAGCTTTGGTACATGTTGGTTTCAGGTACTTGATGTGAGCAGCATCTGAATATGTTCAGCCGATGACTGACCTATGAAGACTGTTTTTCTGTTTTACTTTGCTTGTTTGGTCTTATCTAGTGAAGCGAAGGTAAGATTTAGGGTAAGGGTAAAGGTAGGGATGTAATAGGTAAGGTATCATTTGGTAACGTTATTTGATATACATTTTTATTGCAGGTTTATGTATTCCCAGTTGGTAGTTCAAGTCGTCACTGCACTAACGCTCTTTTAAACTGATTGGGTCTTCAGCTCAATAGACGATTTGACGGTAGTTAAAAGGAAAAAATGGAATGTAGACTTATGCGGAAAAAAATGTAAAGACTCAAGATGTATGGTAGGACGTAAGGTAAGGGTAAAGGTACGACAATATGGTAAGGTTTTCGGTAAATCGAATTGGGTATAAGGTAAGGACATATTCGAGTACGGGATAAAAGTGACTGGGTATGGAGTAAGGGGTAAGAATGAGTGAAAAAGTGTGTGAAAGCTTCGCAACGAATGTGTCGGCTCGACCGGAGTGATACAACGTCCTTACAGAAAACCGGCGTGAAACAACCACAGCGTTGTTTTCGCCGTGTGAATGAGGTTACCAAACCTTCTTCCTCTTCCACAATCCCTAAAATAAGATCCTAAGCCCCGATAGGCCGACAACGCACTCTTCTGGTGTTGCTGGTGTCCATGGGTGGTGCGGATTGCTTTCCACCAGGTAATCCGTCTCCTGGTTTCCCGACCTACATAAAAATTAAAAGTACACTGTGGCAGATAGTATTAGGATAATGATAATGATAATTTAGACACGACTTTTATAATCCTTTTAGTACGAGTAGAAGTTATTGGGAATATCCAGACGTAAATTGAAATAGAGGTTTTCTTATGTGATAGGACGGCAAACGAGCGTGTAGATTACCTGATGGTAAGCAATCAGCGCCGCCCATAGACACCTGTAACAACGGAAGAGTTACAAGTACGTTGCTGACCTTTTGGGGATTTATAGATTGGGGGAGGGTAAGGATTGGGGTCTCCGGTAAACACACTCACACGGCGAAACACAACGCTTTGGTTGCTTCATGCCGGTTTTCTATAAGGCCGTGGTATCACTCCGGGCGAGCCGACCCATTAGTGCCGAAGCATGGATCTCCCACATTTAAAGAGAATACATTATTTTCTTTCCACATCGTAATGTTATTTATTCTGGAATGTTCGCAGGTGTTCGGTGTCTCAGGACCTGCACACTGGTTAACCATACAGCTGCTGACATGAAGGTAGGGTAAACTTGCCTAATTCGTACCACTTCAGGAGAACCTCGAAAATTTTGAAAATGAACAATGATACACAGTTATTTATATTAAGTAGTTATAATTAAACTAATGTTCGATTAGTATTCCGATAAAAAATAACATAAATCTTATAAACTTCTGAGAAATAAACAATTTTCAAAAACTTAAAAAAAGTACGATTTAAGACCATTGATCTTAAATCGTACCAGTATATTCTTAAATCGTACTTTGAGATTCTATCATTGTTTTACAGTCTTAAAAATCACAATCTTAATAATCTTCTCTTCTTTTTAATCTGAATGTACCTAGATTACCTAATTCTTATTAATACAGCGGATGGTCTTTTCCAAATCTTGAAAGTCATTGCAGTAATAAAATTTAGTTGTTTTTTAATTCGTCTTGCACATAGCTCATGTAACCCATACTTCACAATTACTGCATAAAATAATGTTTTTTTTAGTTTTATGAAATAAAAACACAAACTAAAAAATAATCAAGTAAGTAATTAATATTTACTGTGATATTAAACATTGTTTTCCTAAATCGTACGTACGTATGTTTTAAGAAGTTGCTGCGAGTACGAATTAGGCACAAGTATCAAATGAATTTCAAATAAGCCGCAAAAAAAACTGTCAACGAACAAGCGGGCTTTACCATGAGATATATATTTACAAATATACGTATAAATATAGAATAAACAGTTAAACAACTTATGAACGGTATACTTGGAAGACAGTTCTTGTGAAGTATGCAAAAAAATTACTCAAAAAGTGAGAAAAAGTGAGAAAAAACTTACCCGTTCAATATTTTTGTCGGGAGCAACGTAACAGGTGTTTATTTGTCATATGGCAATCTGGCCGACTATTATTGACATTTTATGCCATCAGAGGCGCTGGTAACTATTACCCTTGCCGAGATATAGACGAGGTACGATTTAGGCGCAGGTACGAATTAAGCAAGTTTACCTATACTTGTGCAAATATGTTATACTAATTGCCGCCCGCGGCTCCGTCCGCTTAGTATGTTGATAAAAAGCAGCCTTTGTGTTAATCCAGGGCATCATCTATCTACCTACCAAATCGGTCGAGCCGTTTTTGCGTGAAAGAATAACAATCATACATCCATACATTCTCAGAAAGTTTCACATTTATAATATTAGTAGGATAATAGGATTAGTAGGATAGTAGGGTAGTAGGATAGTAGGATAGTAGGACAGTAGGACAGTAGGATAGTAGGATGGTAGGATAGTAGGATGGTAGGATCAGTAGGATAGTAGGATAGTGGGATAATAGGATAGTAGGATAGTAGGATGGTAGGATCATAGTTGGATAGTAGGATAGTAGGATAGTAGGATGGTAGGATCAGTAGGATAGTAGGATAGTGGGATAATAGGATAGTAGGATAGTAGGATGGTAGGATCATAGTTGGATAGTAGGATAGTAGGTTTAGTAGGATAGTATGATAGTAGGATCATTGTTTTATGCATGTCACTTCTTCAGGTTGCTTCATAAAACTCACAGAATGTAATGTTATTTCCAGAAGCGTCAAAACCTGGTTGGTTTTTCCATACGGCACCGAAGATCAGCGTTGGAGTGTCGTCGGCCCACAAGGATTCGTGACTGACGATGACCTCCTCCACCCACGGGGTGTAAGTGGCTCCTCACAAGCCAAAGTCAACCTCACCTGCTCGTGGTACACCCTGCTCACCCACCAACGAGGCTCTGGCGCTCCCTCCCTGTATAATTAATTAAATTAAAATTTGTCTTAGAATATTGCATTTAAAACACGATACGTAGTACGTAAAAAATACCTAAAAACGGTTTTCAAAAAATATATTTCAATGGTTTTTGTCTTGAATATTATAGAAAATGTAATAAATGTATTAATGTGTTGTGTTTCGCCGTGTGAGTGAGGTTACCGGAGGCCCAATCCTTCCCCTCCCCCAATCCCTCCTCAATCCCTAAATGTCTAAGTCCCTAATCCCTAAAAGGTCGGCAACGCACTCGTAACTCCTCCGTTGCGGGTGTCCATGGACGGCGCTGATTGCTTACCATCAGGTAATCCGTCTGCCCGTTTGCCGACCAGGATAATCAAGACAGGTGCGGTTTAAAAATGGGGGATCACAATGACGATTCGAAAAGTTATTTGATCTTCTCCTTTTTTGATTCTTCGTTTTTGACACCGCGCCTGAACGACTTTTATCCTTTTTTGATTAAAAATTTGAAAATACATTAATTACTTTTAAGGTTTTCATCAATATCTCAATTTACAATAAAAACAATTAATATTAAATAATTTCTTTACAAATACTTAATTCAAATTTTGTCAGTAACAGTAGCCATAGAATGGTTTAATAAAGATTTGAGAAGTTGCAGTAGTGTAATGTTGTTTTATTTTATCAAAATACCTATCTGTGAACACTAGAAAAAGAAATGCAAATAGGTAATTGTGGGAGTACTATGCTTCGACACGAATGGGCCAGGCAGCGCACCGGCTTGGTAGGCCGACCGGCCTCACAGGAAACCAAGGTGAAGAAAAACTTACGTTGTATTTTGCGGTTCAGACCTTCCCTTCCCCAATCCCTCCCTTATCCCCAAAAGGTTAGCAACGCACTCGTAACTCCTCCGTTGTTGCGGATGTCCATGGGTGCACTGATTGCTTATCATCAGGTAATCCGTCTGCTCATTACCACATAAAAAAAAAGATGTCACAATGTAATAGGCAAATCAATCTTTTGCTAAACACAAGCTGCTAATATTAAGCACGTCTACGGATCAGAACCAGGGTCCAGACCATCAAAGATCGGATCTATGTCTAGCTGGAGTTGCAAGAGCCAATGCAATAATGTGACGCAGTCCCGGTTCGGGACGGGGTGGTTTTTAGTCAGTAAGAGTCTGACACCCTTCCGAAGCACACAGAGCAGAAAAAGTCATTATAGATGATCGTACAATCATAAAAAAGGGGGTGCTTAACTTGAGAAGTTTTTTTTCTCTTTTTTTTTGAGCCTTTTATACCAAGTACACGTGAGTCCCATCGTACCTTATAATCTACTTAAACCTATTAAATTGACTTATAAAATCGTAATTCTAAATAAATCAAGTAAAATCAAAAAACCTATGAGGCATAATTGTGTAAAAGACTTGTCTAGAGAAAGCTTTTTTAATGGTAATGGGCAGCTGGCGATTTGGATCTCTTGGTGGTACGCAATCAGCGCCCATCCTAGGACTTCAGAAACAAAAGAGGATTATACATGTGTCTACAGCTTGGTTTCAGGGTGAGAGGTTTCCAGTAACCCCTCTCACGAGTCCATACAATGCTTTTGTTGTTTAATGCCAGTATTATATTATACCAGCTACTCTCAGTTTCACCCGCTGCTCGGCTCCATTTGATCGTAGCGTGATGTTTTATAGCCTATAGCACTCAGGAACATTGTAGCTATCTGTCAGTGAAAGAATTTTGGAAATCCGACCTATAGTTCCAAAGATTACCCCCTACATACAAACTTACAAATTTTACCTCTTTATAATATTAGTATAGAGTATAGATCAGTTCGTGATGTCACTCCGGTCGAACCGGTTCAGCAGTTCCGAAGCATGACTTATAGCATAATGCTTAATTTTTGACAGTATTACTGTGTACCTACTATGGTTGTGTCGTGGGTTCGACTCCTGCGGAGTTAATGTTTCTGTTGTCCACAAAATGGTGTTCAGTCTAGTTGTGAAGTTTACAAACGAAGTCTCGTCGGAGGGGTGGAATAATAGTAAGGAGAGAGGGAGGGGGGACTTTTTTTTACACTTTACAGGTAAATAATTACTACTACTACTACTACGGTAAAAATCTTTATCGGTTTTATCGCAAGAACTTCCGATCGGAGCGCAAGTGAGAATATTATCTCAATGAAGAATATGCTAGTGCCACACTATTGGCCACTTTATTTTTTATAGCTTCAGGATTGGATAAAATTAATAATTACAAGTGACATTCTACAGTGTATCTATAATATTATACATTGCGTGATGGTGTGTGAACAATGCCAGATTATGAAAAAGCGCGCCATCTGTTGGTTTAGTGCAAAAACTATCTTTAGTTTCTGCGGTACTAGATGTCACCACAAGTCGCTATCGGAGAGTTGATGTTTCACAAGCAAGGTTAGCAGGGCCCAGCGATTTTGAATCAGTTGTAATGGGTTCGATTCCCACATCGGGGGTAAATTGTATGTATATCAATTATCGATTTTCTTCTAATTTTAAATGACAAAGGAAACATTGTGATGAGACTTAGTTGACATTTTTGAAACGACCTATGCACCCTAGTTGTAATGAATGTAATTTTTCTCCTTCTTTTCAAATCAAATCAAATCAAAATAATTTATTCCAAATAAACCATAAATAGGTACTTTTGAAACGTCAAAATAGAATAGTAGTCTGTCAGTCTGTTCGTCAGTGAAGCTAGGTTTATTTTTATTTTTGTTTTATTTTTTAAGCCATTTCTCCCCATCACTGCACTGAGAAAAAAACCTTTGAGTGCGGGTTTCGCGTCGAAAATGCATCAAACTAACACATATTATAATTAGCCGGTGGATTCCATACGATTTAATGTATTTCGAAATCGCTTAATTTTATTTATTTGGCCGACATATTTATGTACTTTTACTGCAAGAGAAACAGCAATTGTTCACCAACCGGCGCAAATTAATCAAATAATAACATCGAATTATTTACCAAAAACAAAAAGAGACAATCAAAATATTATCACCCTTCGGCTATTTTTTATTAATATTTTCAAATAAATGCATAATGCCCACCTATGTTGGTAGGTACTAATTGTGACCTGCGCAGTGAAAACCGAACATTCTAGACTTGTGCACTCGTTACGACGCTACAGAAGGTTCACTTCGCTCAGTGGACGACTAAGCCGCTGTTTTAAGCAAAAACATAAAACAGACCAGGTATTCTGTAATGTACTTCTAGAAAATAACGACTTACTTTCGTGAATTAAGTTAGAGTTGAGTAAAATCAGCGCCATCTGTAAGAGTTTTCGACACATTAATCATTTTCGTAAACATTGGTCCCGTCATAATGCCAGTCAGCCTTTCAGTTTGGGTTGCAGGGCAGGCGCAGTAAGTTACTCTGGCCATGGCCTAGAGCAAGAGAAGGAACGCAGTGGTTTTTAGTCAGTAAGAGTCACTGACACTCCCTTTCACCTGACCCTGAGCAAGAGAAGTCATTTGATGATTTTCTCCCCTCGAAAAAAGCTTTAGGATCGTCATTATCATCACCATCCAGTAAAAGACTGCTGCGCTGGTAGGCTGATGTAAATCCAAACTAATATAATATTATAAATGCGAAAGTGTCCATCTGTCTGTTTTTCTTCACGCCTAAACTACAGAACCGATTTTTGTGAAATTTGGTACAGACATAGTTTGGACATGATTAATGCTCTAACCTTCTCCGTGTGAAAAGAGGTCTTTGCTCAGCAGTGGGCACTTATAGGCTGATGATGATGATGATGATGATAGTTTGGAACGCGAGAAAGGACATAGGATAGCTTTTAAATCAAAAATCTGCAGAAAGTCAATATTCCACGTGAACGGAGTCGCGGGCAATAGCTAGTTGTAAAATAATTCTCGCATGTACCTTCTGATATATTTGTACATTGTTGTTACAATTATACATACACTAACAGCATAGTACATCTCAAAATGTTAATTGTGACCTGCGCAGTGCAGTCAGAATGTTCTAGAATAATGCACTCAATGCGACGGCTGCAGAAGGTCCACGTCGCTCAGTAAGCGGTAAAAAGTTGCTCACGGCGCGACTACAAACCCAACTACAGTATAGCAGGCAAACTGTGATGTTTTTTTACACTGTATGTATTATAGACAAAGATCTCTTCCATATGCCTCCGCAGGTTTTGGAGTTTTTTGGATATACTGCCAGAAGGGGGAATGATAACTTGGAAAAGTTACTAATCACTGGTAAGGTGGAAGGAAAGAGACCTAGAGGCAGAAGTCCGATACGTTGGACGGATCAGATTCGCACCACTCTCAACACTACAGTCCACGATGCTCTCCACTCAGCGGCAGATAGAAATAGATGGCGGAATGTAATACGCAGTACACTGCTTCCACGAGGTGGTCACGACCCTCAGCACTGAGGAAACCGACGCGAGGAGGAGTGATGTATGTTTCAGTAATAATTTCAGATCTCTTAGCGAGTCTGACTTACATCTTTCATTAATTTTTTTTATGATATATATCAATGTAAACGAGTAGGTAGACGTATTACCCGATGATAAGCAAATAAGTGCCTAATCGTCCGCAAATGGCCACCCAACACCAAAAGAGTAACGAGTGAGTCTTTTGGGGATAAAGGTTTCAGATATTTAAGGATTGTGAAGGGATGGGGAGAGGGAGGTAGTAGGCCTCCAGTAACCTCACACGGCAAAACACAACGCTGTGGGTGTTTCACGTATGTTTTCACAAAAAAAAACATTTCATAATTTTCCGCATTCATCCCCACTATATTCAATTTGATTTATTAAACAAGAATTTTCTATCCAAAATGCATCTCAAACTTCTGATAAATGTTTTGTTCAGTGACATAAGTACTACATAGACTGCAACCAACTCCAAGTTATTGATCGTGACCTGCGCAGTGCAGCTAGCCTGATCTAGTCTAGGCTACCTTTTGCACTCAGTGCGTCGCGAGCCGTCCGCCGAGAGTGACGTTATTCTTGCAGCCTCGAATTCAACTCTGAAGTTCTTTCTAAGGTAAGTGGTCTCTTATCCTCTATCTAGATGTGGGAGAACCATGCTTCGCTAGGCCGGAGTGATACCACGGCCTCATAGAAAATTGACTTCATTTTAAAGTACATTTGCGTTGTGATTCTCTGTGTGGTTACCAGAGGTCCAACTTCTCCCCAAACCAGGCACGCTGTTATAGCAGCGATAGGACCCCTCTTTGAATAGTAGGTTTTTAGTCAGTTAGAGTCTGAATCTCATTCCCACTCCACCTTGAGCGAGAGAAGTTGATGGTTTTCTCCTGACAAAAAACGCCTCCCCCATTCCCCAAGTCCTTAACTCTTCAAATCCCTTATTCTAAAAGGCCAACTACGCAGTTGTAACTCATCAATGTGAAATTTTATTAGCGACGGCGATTGCTTAACTTCACCATGAATTTATGCTACAAGTTAACCGACCAGCGGGGCAATCAGATATGTTGTATTGCAACTCTACATTTATAGGTACCATGTTTTTATCATGTTCCAGGGATCTGCCAACTGTGAGGATCATCCACTAGGTGGTGCCTAAGGGTAGCTGATTCTGCAGCAAGCAGTCATGCAGATTTGGAGCTGGGAGTCGGCACTAAGACACGGAGTGCCTTGCTCCCTTTTCATAAAGGTGGGTTACTTAGATATCAGTCAATTTCTTGGACAATCTGTGCGAAGTGAACCATTGTGGTCATATCTGCGAATGCTTATTGAGAGACCTTGAATTTTCCAATTTTTTGATCTATATTCTCTGCATCTTCCAGGAACTGGCTGCGTCATACACTCGGTGCAGAAGACCGGCATTAGACTGTCACATTAGAAGCGCTCGTGACTAATGACCACCACTTTCTTCCCATGGGGTGTAAGTGGCTCCCATCATGCCAAAGTCAACCTCACCTGCTCGCGGTACACCCTGCTTCCCGCTAACGAGGCTCTGGCGCCCCCGGTAGACACATTACAAAACAGAACTGTACTACGACACTAGACAATTAACTCAACACCTAATATTATTGATTTAGTCAGTTTTGTTAAAATGTGTCTACATTTTAACTTAAAAAGGTGTATAAGGTCAGATTCTAGTACTAAGATTGTTGTTAGATTTTTATACAAAGTTTTTTATATAAAAAATTACTAAAAAGATACAGAAGCACACACAACACTCATTTATTATGATATCCATTGGATGTTATATTTAGGATAAGAAATTAGGTTAAGTTAAATATTTTGGAGTTTTAATTCTTAACCTCAATCTCTAGCCCTAAATCCTCAATCTTTATTCCCAAAACTGAAAATCCTTCCGTCCTAATGTCGAATCCTAAATCCTAAATCTCTAGTCCCGATATCAGATACCAAATGTCGAGTCTCGAATCCTGAAACCCGAGTCTTGAGTCCTGAATACCGATTCTTTAATCCTAAAACCTGAAATCCGACTCCAAAGTCGCGCCCCCAAGTGATGGATACCATGCCTCAAATCCCGAATCCTGTTTTCCGATACCACAATACTGAATTTCGAATCCTGGATCTCGATCTCCCAGTTCCCAATTCTTGAAATGCTGGCTACAAAATAAGAATGTCCATGGGCAGTGCTAATAGCTTCCCATCACGATATTCGTCCAATTGTTCATCATCATCATCATCATCAGCCTGTTGTCGTCCACAGCTGGACATAGGCTGCAATTGCACGCCACTGAGCTCGATGTTCAGCTCTTCTCATCCAACCACTGCCAGCCACCCTGCGGATGCCGTTCGTCCAATCGTTGGCCGACCAAAATAAAGTTAAAAAAAGGCTTTGTTCGCCAGACTGTTTTTCACCGATTTTTAATGCAAGTAGTACATTTTCCATTATTTGAGTTTCTAGATGATCAAAAGTGTAATAAAATGTAGTTGAAATTATAGGAGAACACACTTTGAGAAAACTACATGTAGCGCCATCTATGAGTAATGTTTGCTGTGTCAAAGTATCAAACTTAATATTGAGTTTGACAAATTTAATCTATTTATTGTAATTTAAGCAATTTAAAAAAAGAAGAAAAATCGATTCTCACTCATTCCTTAACGGGTTGTGAAAAAAAAAGATTTATATAATTATTTTTATTATTTTAGTTCACCCAGTTTTTCAACTTTAATAGATGGCAGCACTAGTTACACTTTAACCTCCTATGTATCTTGTATTAACTAAGAAGTCGGCAATGATGTTCATTCTAGAACTAGCCTGTATATACAGCTAGTTAGGTATCCCGTCATAAGTCTGCTCGTTTGCCGGCCTATCAGCTCAGTCATGATATACAAAATAATGTTTTTTTTTTCTAGCCGTTGAGTCCAGTGTAATCCTCCCCAGTAGAAGACACAAGCGCGTTGCTAGTCTTTAAAACCTACTGTGGATATTTTGGGTATGCAGGTCTTTACTTCAGGTACTGAATGCTTACCATCAGGACGCTCGTTTACCGCTTTATATTTTAAAAATCTTACCTCGCATTTTTTTATATTTTTATTTTATTTTATGTGATAGGTCGGCAAACGAGCCGACGGATTACCTGATGGTAAGCAATCAGCGCCGCCCATGGACACCCGCAATGGAGGAGTTACGAGTGCGTTGCCGACCTTTTAGGGATTAGGGATTTGGAGATTTAGGGATTGAGGAGGGATTGGGGTAGGGGAAGGATTGGGCCTCCGATAGCCTCACCGTAACTTCACCAACCTTATGTATCACTTATCATCCTTGACAGAATTATGTCGAAGTTCTGTTGTCACCTTCATCAACTTGATGACATCTACTGCTGAACAAAGCCCTAGCTGTTAGTCTTAGCTAGGTTTTTTTACAACTTCTGCTACAAATGACCTTTTTTTCTTTTTTCGTCTATTGTGTATTTTCGTAAAGTTGTGATTTACATTAATATCCTTTCTATATTACCATATACCATATTACATTACCATATGGAAAGGATATGTGTGTACCCTTTTATACTAACCGCGTTAAGTTTCGCTATCTGCTTACCTTCAGGTAAGCCTCTTTGTCTAAGTGTGGGAGACCGGAGTGATACCACGGCCTCACAGAATACCGGCGTGAAACAAACCACAGCGTTGTGTTTCGCCGTGTGAGTGAGGTTTCCGGAGGCTCAATCCCTCCACTTCCCCTATCCCTTCCCAATCCTTATATCCGCAACATCTATCCCCAAAAGGCCGGCAACGCACTTGTAACTCCTTTGGTGTTGCAATCCGTCTGCTCATTTGCCGACTTATACCATAAAAAAAAGAAAACTTAGCTGTTACCAAAACTAATTTGTAAATATTTAATATGTGTATATCATGAATTTAGTAATATCAGTTAGAACCAATTTTAACTCTTTTTGAATTTCAAAGCAAGGTTATTAGCAAGATGGGTGTGCTATGAAATAAAACAACAATGTCACTACTGCGCTAATTCACTACTAAGCGTTTATTATTAATTAATACATCGATTAAACATACAGAGAGTATTCCTATTAATAATTTAAATGTTATAGTGCCTGAGAAGATTTTGATGACCATTTGTCCAGAAGCGGCACCAATAAAAAGGGGGGAGATCGAGGGACAAGAAGCTTTGAGTTGTCCTCTAGATCCCCCCATTTGAGACCGCATCTGACCTTATCATCCTGAACTAGAAACGATAGTACATATCATTAACGTATGGGTACGTGCATCGTAGCAATATCCTTATCGGCTAAATTTAATCGGAGACACTCTTAATTCCTAAAATTACATTCATGCGTGATAGTAATAATAAACTTAAAAAGTATTTGACCTATTCATTAAAGTAAGATAGGACTGACCCGCGGGTGTCTTCGAGAGAACACCCGCTGGTGGCTCCCTGTATGAGGTGATCCTTATACAGGGAGGGAGCGCCAGAGCCTCGTTGGTGGGTGAGCAGGGTGTACCACGAGCAGGTGAGGTTGACTTTGACGTGATGGGAGTCACTTACACCCCGATGGGGGATTTTGGATCATAAGTCGAGAGGCCTTGTGAAGCGACAGCAGACTGATGTTGGTCTTCGGCAGCGAGAAAAGAACGCAACCAAGTCCTGCCGCTCCTGGAACATGTAAAAAATTTAGATGTGAAATTAAGAAATCTCAAGGGTCCCAAGATGAGCTTGCCACAAAGAAACGTATGGAATGTAAAAAAAACTACACTCATTACACACCTTTGTATAAAGAAGATCGGCACTCCGTATCATAGCGGCAGCTTCCACCACCGGCTCAGCATAGCTCCTTGCTGTAGCCCCAGCCATCTCCAGACACCAGCTAGTGAAGCCTCATGTTCACAAGAGCCCTGTAACATTATGGACATATACATAGTTTCTGACTCCCTGGTATCTGACTATACCAGGGAGTCAGAAACTATGTATATTTTATTGAGCCAGGTCAAAATATTACAGAAGGAGCTGCAGGCCTGATCACCACAATGAAACACCATCGTAAAACATGAAAATTATGACATTCCAAATCACTTACCTTCACAAATTTGAAGGGGACTTCAGAAGACCAGGGCTTAAAATTGAAAAGACTACGCCCACTCGGATCGAAAGACCACAACGTCACGACCTGAGGACGGTGCGCGGCGTACTAAGTGCAATGGAAGCTTGGTCTAGTTCAGTCTAGCTGCACTGCGCAGGTCACGATCAATACTTCGACAAGAGCTATATTATGCAGTTATAGTATTTATGCCACTAAAAAGCAATATTTTCGAAGGTTTAGCAGTATGATGGGAAAGGAGTCCAATGCAAATATTACCACTTAAAGCGTGGAAGATCAATGAAAACGGCACGAATGCGTCAGCTCGACTGGAGTTATACCACTGCCTCATAAAGACTGGCGTGAAATAACCACAGCATTCTGTTTCACCGTATGCATGAGGTTACCGGAGGCCCAATCCTACACCTACCAAAATTCCTCCCTTATTCCTAAATCTCCGAAACCCAAAATGTCACCAAAGCAAAGTAACTCCTTTTGATGTTGCGGATGGGATGTCCTTGGGCAGCGCCGATTACTTTGATGCTTACCATTAGACAGATCACCCAAACACATCCACCTTTTTCAGAACTGCAGTCGGATCTTGTCTTTAATTGCATCTGTGGTCAGACTGTACAACTTGTTTCCGTGCACTGAGCGACGTAGACCTTCTGCAGTCGTCGCATTGAGTGCACAATTCTAGAATATTCTGACTGCACTGCGCAGGTCACATTTTTTTTTCTGGTTTATATTTGTATGCAGTTATATAACTAGTATTTTCGTCACTAAACAAATATACTATCAGAAGGATTATCTGCGTTGTGCGAACTGAGAAAGAGATTTGTGTTATTTATTTCACTGTACTTGCAAGCGAACAGACGGATTACCTGATGGTTAGTAATCGGTGCCGCAAATGGACAATCGCAATACCAGAGGAGTAAAAAATGCGTTGCTGGCCTTTTGTAGATTAGGGTTTCAGAGGTTAAGGTATTAGGGAGGGTTGGGAGGGAAAGTATTGAGCCTCCGGTAATCTCACTTCATTCTCGTTTCACGCAGTTTTTTTAAAGAAACTGTGCCCTTCTCTTGGATTTTCTCCTGTGTGGTGGGTACAAACATACAATTTCACATACATAAAACACCCTGGTCCAGAAGAACAATTTGTGTATCACATAAAGAGTTGTTCAATGCGGGAAGCGAACACACGCCACGTTGCTCGACAGCCACTTGGCCAGCCCAGTCGAGCTGACCCATTAGTGCCGAGGCATGGCTTTCCATCACTTAAAACTTCCTTATTAACTTAACAAAATGAGACGAAGCTAAGGTACCAAGAATCAAAGAACTCATCCACATCAATATCATTGAGGTTCGGCCTCAGAAGACCGGCAGTATTGCCATGTTGCATCGCACGCAATACTAACTTTTTTCAACGTGTCTGAGGGAGTCATGTGAATAATCGACTAGCTTACAGTAGCAATATGTTCGAAGTGTATAAGAGTCATGCTTCAGCACGAATGGGCTGGCTCAACCGGAGTAATACCCCAAAAATATCCCTTAAAAAACCGGCAACCAACTTTGAGTTTGACTCGTGGTAGCCCGGTGGGTTCGAAACCTGACAATTACCAATGTGACTTTTTTCGAATTATATGTACTTTCTATGATTATTTAGACACCACTGACATACCTACGGTGAATTAAAACATCGTGAAGAAACCTGAACTTAATTTTAAGTTTATAAATTGCCATTCCGCCTTGAGCAAGCGTGGTGATTTATGCTCAAACCTTCGCTGTGTTAGAAGAGGCCTTTGCTCAGCAGTGGGCACTTATAGGCTGATGATGATGATGATGATGAACAAACTTTGAACTCCTGTGGTGAAGGTATCCATGAGTTATGCCAATTGCTTACCATCAGATTATAAACCTGATCGTTTGGCGCCCTATCCCGTAAAAGAACACTATCGTCTGTAGTCGTGCTGTAGGCTACAGTGTATGTTCCCAAACACTGAGCGACTTAGACCTTCTGCAATCTGCATTTAAGTGCATAAGTTAGTCTAGAAATCTCTGACTGCACTGCGCAGGTCACGATCAATACTTTGATGTGAGATGTATACAATACCATTTATGAGTATTTGTATGTAGATATTCTATACGAGCTCTTCAAGGCTTTGCCCCATTTGTATTATATATTTTTAAAGTTATAATTTCGTTTATTAATAAGTTTCTAACTCCTTTATTGGGATTAAATTTTCTGAAACACATCCATTGCTTGTTGACTAATTTTAACATTATCTACTTAAGTAATTTTATATATGGATATTTTAACACAATTTCTAAGGAGCTTTTAAAAACAAGACTTAAGTCAACGTTTTGTTGCATAGCGCCATCTTTTGGTTTACTCTGGAATATCTTCCTAAATGATAATCCTCAGAATTTGAGTAGCGACATCTCTTGGTTTGTGTTTAAACTTCTCCGTGTATGTAGCTACTAACTATGATTTTACGTAGCGCAATCTCTTTAAATATAACGCAATCTCAATAAAGTTAACTGCTACATAGCGCCATCTAATGGTAAACATTCGAACTTCTTTCAATTACAAATTAAATTTTGTCTAACGCCATCTATGGGCTTAAGGCCGAACTTCGTCATACGTGAATTCAGTTGTTTTTTATGAAGGGGGAAAATCATCAAATGACTTCTCTCGCCCGGGTAAGACGAGAGAGATTGTCAGACTCTTACTGAATAAAAACCACTCCGTTCCTTCTCCTGGTCCCGACCGGTGCCATGGTGTCTTATTGTACTTGACCTGCGGCCCTTATCATCACTTATTATCAGGGAATCCGTCTGCTCGTTTACCTCCTATCCTATTTAAAACCATCACCATATCAGCCTTAAGAAATCTACGCTAAAGGTGGCCTATGTTTAGCGTAGCTATCATACCGTGTTCTAAATTATTTTTAAATGTAGTTGTAATGATAGTTCGGTAAACGAAAAGACGGATTACGGCTGATTTAAAAAAATCGGCGGCGCCCATGGACGCTCGTAATTCCAAAGGTGTTACTACAAGTCCGTTGCTATGGCTATAGGCCGAATAGGGGATTGGAGGATTAAGGATGGGAGGGGGAGGGTGGGGGGAAGACTGTGCCTCCGGTGACCTCACTCACAAGGCGAAACACAACGTAAGTGTTGCTTCACGCCTTTCTGTGAGGCAGTGGTATCTCTGCTCTGGTCAAGCCGACGCATTACATTAGTGCCGAAGCATGGCTCTCCCACACACACTACTGCAAACTGGTCTGTCTCTGAATTCTCAGTTTTTGCCAATCAATTAACTACTCGCACTCGCACGTACCTCATAAACATTATTACTAGCAAAACTATGTTTACTTATAGCCCTTACTCAATGAAAACTAAGCAAAATGGTCAATAATGGAATGAAACAACATTGTAAGCGTCTAATTCACTACCAAGCTTTATTGAATATGAATTGATAAATGGAGATATAAGTAGCTAATGAAAAATATTAAGATTACAAACTTCAACTAGTACTATATTTATGTATAACAATGCATTGTTTTGTGAATTTACAAGATAACTGCTCGTTCAGGTGCGGAGCCAAATTTAGAAGAAGTAAAGGGGAGATCTAAGGTTCGGAAACATTTACTAAGCCCTGAGATCCCCCCGTTTGAGACCGCCCCTGACCTAGTTATCCCGTAAAGACCTTATAATGAAGAAAAAACTAAGCATTTTTTTTTTAATTGTATAACCATTGTTGTTTTTAATAAAACATGTAACACCGTGTAGTCCAATCAACACTTTTACATGTCATATCATCAAGGAATTGTGAAATATTATTTCATAGATCTTCGTACATAAACCCCAGATCTGTGAGGAGACCCCATATGAGGATATACGTACTCATATGGGGGGGAGCGCCAGAGCCTCGTTGGTGGGAAAGCAGGGTGTACCACGAGCAGGTGAGGTTGACTTTGGCTTGTGAGGAGCCACTTACACCCCGTGGGGGGGTAATGAAGGTCATCATCAGTCACGAAGGCTTGTGATGCGGCAACAAGCTGGTGCCAATCTTCGAAGTTGAGTGGAGAACGCAGTCGGGTTCCACCGCTTCTGTAAACTGCAGAAAAAAAATTATTGGAAATTTCTCAAAGAACTCTTCGAGATCGTTTTATCCTCAAAATATATATGTATTATTTATTTTTATGCTCAAAAGATGCGACTGATTACCTGATAGTAAGCCATCAGCGCCGCCAATGGAACAACATAGGAGTTACCTTCTGGGGATAAGGGATTTTGGGATTTAGGGATTGGGGGAGGGGAAAGGTTGGGCTTCCAGTAACCTCACTAACTTAAATTTATTTATTAGGCTAGCCAATAGTTATATACACTCTAACATTTATGAGATAAAAAAATATAAGAAATACATTTGCAAGTGCAATAGCTACTTACTGGCTAACACAAAATGCATATTAATTGATACATTGCTATAATACTGACCTCGGTATCGAAGAAGCACGACGCTCCATGTCCTAAATCTGACTCCCAGTACCAGCTCTGCATAACGGCTGCAGCACCAGGCGCCAGCTAGTGAAGCCTCGTGCTCACTAGACTCCTGCAACAAAATGGCAATGTGATATACAGCGATGACACAATAATTACTAGTCTAGCTCTATGCTGGAGCACTCCAGGGTAGGGTATGAAAAAAAAGATCCTCCCCAGTCCCAAAATCTTCAAATCCCTAATCCCCAGAAGGTCGGCAATGCATTCGTTACTCCTCCGTTGTTGCGGGTGCCCATGGGCGGCGCTGATTGCTTACCACCAGGTAATCCGTTTGCTCGTTTGCCGACCTATTTATTAAAAAATAAAAGATATACAGCATTTAAAAGATTAACAAGATAACTTACTTTTACTAATCTGAAGCCGCACAGAAAGGGAAGGTCTTCAATATCACAGAACTACTTCGAAAGACCAACACGTTACACCCGATGGACGGCGCGCTGCGCACTGATTGCATATGCGAAATCTAGTCTAGTTCAGTCTAGCTTCATTGCGCAGGTCAGAATCAATACTTTAAGCTATATTTTTTAGTTTATGTAGTATTTATGTCACTGCAGAAGTAATTAATCCAAAGGCCCATTGCAAGGCGAGCGCTATAAGTTACCACGGCCTCCGCCTGGATCAGTAGAAAGAACGGGGTGATTTTTAGTCAAAAAGAGTCTGACACTCTTTCTCGTCTCACTCCCGACGAGAAAAGTAATTTTGATGATTTTCCCCCGACAAAAAAAGCCCCAAAGCATTTTTGGAAAGGGATGCAGTTGATAAAATGACTTGATTTTGTGATGGAAAGTTAAAAAGAGTGGAGAATGCAGTTTCAATAGAAAAAACTGTTTTAGAGGACGAATTAGGCTATGAGATTATTAATACATCATAGTCTGTGATGACTGCAGTCGTAGGCTCTGCATCATCAGCCTATCAGTGCCCACTGCTGAGCAAAGACCTCTTCTCACACGGAGAAGGTTTGAGCATCACCACGCTTGCTCAAGGCGGATTGGCGGTTTCAAACTTATAAATTATAAGTCCAGGTTTCCTCACGATGTTTTCGCCGAAAGTCAGTGGTGACTAAATATTCATAGAAAGTACATAGAAAAAGTCACATTGACTGGACTGGCCAAGTTTCACCCTCATGCATGAGACAGGCGTCTTAACCTATACCAAGACGTAGACTGAGTAAGTAAAAAAATCCTGCTTTGGTAGCGTCAGGTTATATATATCCCAGGGTATTGAGCGACATGGACCTTCTGGAGCCGTCACATTCAGTGCAGAAGTCTAGAATATTCTGAATGCACTGCGCAGGTCACAATCAATACATGGAAGTGATATGGGCGTTGCATTCATGATATATTTCTATGGAGGTATATTTAAAAGACAACGTACAACAAATTTAGAAGACCAGAAGGTTGAATTACTAAAATCTTTGGACACGATCCTAAGGCTATTTGAGTGGGATTAATGTAGCGTAGCGGTGACGGTCTTCTACTGAACTATTAGGTCTTCTCTGGAGAAGAATAAGTGTAGGAGAGAACCATGCTTCGTGAAATCCCGAATCCTCCAACTCCTAACTCTAAGGAAAACGAGTTCGTGGCTCCTCTACTTAGTTGTCCGGGATCCCATGATTGAATATCCCCAGGAGATCTTCCTGCTCGTTTGCTAAATTTCACATAATAAGCTAAATAAAAAATGTTATAAGCTACACGTTCATTGAAACAAGACTAGAAAGGAAAAAGAGAGAGAATAGATCTCCGTATTATGTTGATTGATGAAAATTATGAACCGTGTAAGTGTCAAGCCCTTTTGGCTCATAACACAGTTGAGCTAGAAACCTTTGTGCTGCCTGAAAATCATCAACACATCGTCCTAAGTGGGGTGAACGGGAGTGTCTTTCCCTGCTCCGAATGATACATTATTGCCCAGCTAAACATCAGCCCTATTGGGCCCCATGTGTGGTGGTCTATTGGCTCTTTAGGTGAGCGCGGAACGATACGCACTGTGTCCTTGGGTCTTCTTCTGGTCGGTTAGCGAGCTACCCTAGATCGCCGTCGGCAGATCTCTGTGGACGCCACGCAAACCGGCGCACGGAGTGTCTTCTACTGGAGCGGCTGGAGCGTGAGGAGTACATTATTGCACTTGCATACGCAACTCTGGCTGGACAAATTCAGAGGAGAGTACAAGTTGATGTCCTTTTGAGACTAAGGGGTTTGAGGATTTGGGAATTCGTTGAGGAGAAGGGGGGAAGACTAAGCCTCTGGTAACTTCAATCAGGAGGCGAAAAATAACGCTGTAGTTGTTTCACGCCAGTTTTTTGTATGGCAGTGGTATCACCCGCTTTGGAGCTCTCCCATATAATATGTACATATACCACTTAGGAAGGTTTGATTTGACTGTTTACAATTGACCTTCTGCAGTATTTATTGTTATTCCTCAACGCCCTACATCAAGCCTGATTTACAGAAGAAGTAGGGCAGAGATGTACAAACATTTTAAATGTATCACCACATTGTATGTTACTTCAGTGTCAGTAGTCTGTGGTAACTATCTTAATTTTCTTGTTTCGTATAATAAAATTCGATTTAAATTTTATATTCTCAACTATATTAACATACATTGTAATTATGTTTATTATTTTGAAACTAATGTCCCAATTTGCTGGAAGTAATTCGACAGATTAACAATAGATGGCGCTGCACAAATTCTACGTCGCGGTAAAAAGTTCACACGTGGCATGTCGTGTGTTCCAGAACTAATTAAAATTCTAACACGGAATTGGTTGCATACTTTTATTAATTTAGCACTTATTAAAATAATTTTTAATAAGTGCTAGTGTAGTGTATATATAGGCAATCGGACCAAAATATTCTGCTTGAGGCGTTGTGAGAAATAACATCTGCTGTTCACTAGGGAAATTACTAGTGTCCAACAATTGGGCATTCAATGTTAGACATCTGTTTAGTCATTAGCGCCATCAAGCGGGGACAAAACAAACTTTCTTCAATACTGCACTTTATAATATACACGTCATGACCCGCAGACTGTATAGCCTACCTATCTATTGTAAAAAAAACTACATTGTCAGCAACATTGAAAAATAAAAATTTATTTTGGGGATGCAACTATCTCCGGTCATCGTAAGCACGTGTCTGCGGATGGCAGGCAACCGACTGACCCGAATCAGACTGTAACGCACCTCTAAAAAATAGACCACCCGGCAGAAAATTAGCCATATTGGTTCGCACCTGTGAACCAATATGGCTAATTTTCTGCTGGGTTTGCGGGTCAAGCACAATTTGGCAAAGCCAAGCTTTGGCGAAAATGGGTCGACTCAACCGAAGTGATACCAGGGTCTCACAGAAAACTGGCATGAAACAACTACAGCGTTTTGTTTCGTGAGTTACTTCGTGTGTGTGAGGTTATTGGAAGTCCAATCCTTTTCCACCCCTCATCTCTCCCCAATCCCTTATCTTCTCGAAACCCTTATTCCCAAAGGCCGGCAACGACTGCGTTAACTCGTTGGGCTCTCCCTGATTGCTTACCATCAGGTAGTGTGTATGCTCTTTTGCCGGTCTACCAAAAAGATAAGAGAGTAGCAGAAGGAACGGAATGTTTTTAGTCAGTAAGAGTCTGTCAGTCCCTCTCGCCCTAGGGAGGTGAAGTCATTTGATGATTCTCTCATCCTCCTCAAAAAAGGAATTTAAAGGTTGGTTTGAAATAAAACGCCAAATTTTCACTACTTCTAATCCTACTTCTAAATCTACTTTATTATTTAAAAGACAAAAATTCACTACCAACTTTTCTACAACTACTGAATTTTTCAAAATTTCAAAATTTGAACTACATAGATTAAAAATATTTAGAAATGACAACTACGAAAAACATTTTTTTTATTGTTTTTGAGAGTAACGGTGTTATATTTTTTTTTAATGTGATATACCACCACCACCCGACGGGGCAGAAACTTGTACAGCGGCGGCGCAAGAAACGGTGAAGGTCGAAAGGCGAGAAGTGCCAAAAAAAAATTAGAGCGAAACACTTTTGTGTGCCTTTTGACCCCCACATGTTGCACCGCTACAGGACTAGTGACCCCGAGATATTTCTATAATATAGTACACAAAATGACATTGCATTATTATACCTATAATAATAATTAAAATTACTATTCGCTTTCAAATTAAAGGCATTTGTTGATCCGTTTTTTAGATAATTCTAAATTTCTAATTGTTTTGTTCTATCACTTGAAGAGCTCTTTGCTCCTCAAGTGTGGTATACGCCAGAGCCTCGTTAGTGGGTAAGCAGGGTGTACCGCGAGCAGGTGAGGTTGACTTTGGCATGATGGGAGCCACTTACACCCCGTGGGGAGAAGTTGGGGTCATAAGTCACGAAGCTGCTGCTGGTACTGGTAACCCAGCTGGAGTTGGTGACCCAGCCAGATGTCGCTGCTCCTGAAAAATAATAATATTGACTTCAGTAAAAAAATGACATCCTGAATTATCTGGTTGAGTGGTTTTTTTGAGGCGGGAATGTCGTCCTATGGCTTCTCTCACCGAAAGGGCTTCAAGTGTCAGATTCTTATTGACTAAAAAACCCTGTTCCTTCTACAAATCAAAGCTGCGGTACCTTTTTATACTTCTAAACATCGGCCCTGTTTGGCCCCATCTGAGGTACCGGTACGCTACGCGCCGTACGCTTGGTGAGTGATGTATGTACTAAAGATGCCACAATGTCAAATAAAAGCAATTGGGTAGTTTCGTTCGTCTCAATACAATAAAATATTGAAAAATAACTATACTTTTATTCATCAATCGATCGATACACTAATTTTTAGATTTTTTTAGCTAATTATTAAGAAATAAGTAAGCTATTTGACGCAAAAAAGTTATGACGTCATAGCTCAGTTTTTCATACAAATTTCATACAAAAGTATCGTTTTTGACGTTTGGATAAAAGTATTGAATTTGACTAGTTGGAAACTACCGTATTATTTTAATCAAAACAAAAGAAAATCGCCATTGAACGCTCTGTGCTCAATAACGTCTGTATTTTGTTAGTTTTTAAAGATCCTTATTGAGAAGAATAGAAAACTCGTTCGCGAAAGCTTTTTGTGCGATACAAGCAGTTTGGATATTGTGAAGCAAGGTAGGTATATCAACATAAATTAAAACAGGATTTTGGCACAAGTAGGTACCTTTTTATCGGCCACATCAAAGCGCTGCTGGTCCGAGATCTCGTAACACCGAAACATCTTCAGACATCAGATTTCTGCAAAAAATCCAGAATTGTGTATTATATTAGTGTCGGTAGGCATATAAAAGGTCTGGTCGCTATAAGGTCTTCTGAGAGTTTTTTATTGTAAGTAATTTGGCACATATTAGTGCTAGTATATTATAAATGTTTTTATGAATCCTCTAGAAACTATAAAGAATATTTAGCAACGGCTTGTGGCTTACACGGTTTTATGGTCGACAGGGTACCGGTTATTGTGATGAATTCGTCGACGGGTCACTTTCTGGATAAGTTTTTATGAGTACCGGTTTTTTTACGGCAAACAAGGAGATTTATCAACTGCTGTTAAGCAATCAACGTCGCCCATGGATGCCAGCGGAGTTAGATGTGTCTTACTAACCACTTGAGAGTTTATGAAGTTGAGAATTTGATGATTGGAGAGGGAGGGATGAATAGGCTTCAGGTCGGTGGTGGTGAGCCTGATATCGTAGGTAAAGATCGATTAATACATGAACAACTTACCGTCATATCACTGCTAACAAAAACGTCCAAACTGCGTAGTAGGTTTACAATGATTGGCGGTCGGCAGTGGCGTCTTGGACCCGCAGGCTGGGATTAAACACCATTTAGAAGTTGCAACCACTAGAAGACGATGCACATATCATCAAATCTGGAGGTTGGATATGAGGGTGGAGCCCTATCAGCGTATGATGGCTCGAAGAAGAAACATGTCCTTATCCGTGAGACAGCGCGCACACCACTGATTGCACAAAGAAAGTCTAGTCTAGAAGAATCTAGCTGCACTGCGCAGGTCACGATCAATACTTCGACGGTAGATGCAGTTTTATAATTTTCAACCTTGAAATATTGCATCAGGGTTGAATTTTATTATGGCATTTTGAATTTAATTAATCATAAATTATGATTACTAGCTCTTTTTAATTAATTCAAATTAAAAAGAGCTAGTAATCATATAAAGTACATAATAAAGTATAACTCACCCTAAAGTATAACCACTCACTCTAAAGTATAACCTCATGCATGAAAAGCGGACGCCTTAACAATAGAAACACCACGTCGATTAGATGGCGTGCGGTTCGCATAATTCGTTAGTAAAACAATATTTTAGGAATCTGAAAGTGAGTTTGTTCATTTCCTTATATTCCTCTTACATCACGACCGCCAATGTTATGTCAATTAAAGCCTAGTGCCGGCTTGATCAGGGAAATACAATCCTTTCACAGAATACTTCAATGATGATAATGATGATGCGTTACTGTCTTCCGTCTCATTAATGAGAGTTCCAGTTAGATGGACTGTTTAATTCGGCTATCATTTTTCCTTGTAACCGCTAATACTATCAAAATGTTTCATATAATGGTCCTCAACGCATTGGTGTAGCACTGTCTGTTTACTAAGCAATATAGGAGCAACAGAGCAATTTAAGTGTGGGAGAGCCATGCTTCGGCACGAATGGGTCGGCTCGACCGGATTGATACCACAGACCCACAGAAAACCGGTGTGAAACAACCACAGCGTTGTGTTTCGCTGTGTGAGTGAGGTTACCAGAGGCCCAATCCTTCCGCTCCTCAATCCCTAAATCTCCAAATCCCTAATTCCGAAAAGGTAGGCAACGCACTCGTAACTCCTCCGTTGCGGGTGTCCATGGGCGGCGCTGATTGCTTACCATCAGGTAATCCGTATGCTCGTTTGCCGATCTATTACATAAAAAAAATAGGCCAGAATTTCCTTATAACACGTGAGCGAAATCGAATCAGTGTCAATGAAATCAATAAACTTAAAAGTTTTTATAAAGGGTTCATGTTCTGATCAAGAGATGGCGTTGCTTTTCAAAGCCGGAGCTTCAGTTGATATACAAAGTATAAAATACTTTAGCGCCATCTTTTATTGGCAAATAGAACTTTATGATATATGTTTAATATTCATTTCATTACGTCGTTGGAACTTGAGGGCATACCATGACGACAGAGAGAGATGGAGCTAATAAAAGGTGTATAGCTCCATCCCTCTTTCTCGCCCGGAAGATTGACGTTTTAAGAGGCCTACTGTTCTTAATCTTAGAGGAGATTTGGTTGCATGTCAGTATTTATAGCTAATAATTGCCCTTTAATTTGTTCAGTCATAATGTTGTAGTGGCCCGGAGGTTAAGGAGCCCGTTTCCCATGCATGAGGGTGTGGGTTCGAAACCTGGCAAGTACCAATGTGATTTTTCCGAGTTACAAGTACTTTCTATGATTATTCAGATACCACTGACATACGGTGAAGGTAAACATCGTGAGGAAACCTGGACTTATAATTTCTAATTATAAGTTTGAAATCACCAGCCCGCATTGAGCAAGCGTGCTCTAACCTTCTCCTGAATGATGATGAGGCTGATGATGATGATGATGATATTCCCTTCCATAAGACGCTTTTTTATGAGGGAAACATCATCAAATAACTTCTCTCACCTATTGTAAGGCGAGATTGAGTGTCAGATACTTACTGACTAAAACCACCGCATTCCTATTCCTGCTCTAGGTTGGGGCCGTGGTAGTAGCTTATTGCACCTGTCCCGCAACTTCGGCTAATTCATAAGACGCTTGAGTTAGACTCTTGTCTAATATACTTCTAAATAGCTTTCATTGGACAGGATTTTTTCTATGTATATTTTCTCGGTTGACTAGCATTCAATAGCTTAGTAATAGAACAATCTTGACGGCATCATATTATTATCCACCAGGGTTTGTAGTCAGTGAGAGTCTGGTGTTCTTAACATGTATCCTCCAGAGACAAGACAATCCCTTCATACGTTAAGTGTGGGGAAGCCAAGCTTTGGCACGAATGGGTCGGCTCGACCGGAGTGATACCACGGCCTCACAGAAAACCGGCGTAAAATAACCACAGCATTGTGTTTCGCCGTGTGAGTGAGCTTACCGGAGACCCAATCCTTCCCCTCCCCCGATCCCTCCCAATCCCTAAATCTCAAAAACCCTAATCCCTAAAACTCGTTAACACTCGTTACTCCTCCGTTGCGGGTGTCCGTGGGCGGCGCTGATTACTTACCATCAGGTAATCCGTCTGCTCGTTTGCCGACCTATTCAATAAAAAAAAACCTTTTTAGCCCCGACATTTCTGAATTTACGTCACGTTGGACAATAGCCAGCCGTTAAGCCCATCCTTTTTATTACTTAACCAATATACTAGCAAGCCAACACACAGATTACCTTTTGGTAAGCAATCGGCGCCGCCCATGTACATCAGGGAATATACAAGCGCGTTACCGACATTTTAGGGCTTAAGAGTTTTAGATTTTGGGATTGGAGATGGATGAGGGACGGGAAAGGTTTATAATTTATACCTCTGGCCAATTATTATCTATACTAATATTATACCTAAAGAGGTAAAATTTGTAAGTTTGTATGTAGGAGGTAATCTTTGGAACCGCTGATCGGATTTCCATAATTCTTTCACTGATAGATAGGTACAATGTTCCTGAGTGCTATAGGCTACCATTAAATGGAGCCGAGCAGCGGGTGAAACCGCGCGAGAGTAGCTAGCATGATATAAGGGACAGTTAAAATAAAACACAATTATTTTACTACTTCTACATCTACTTTTTAATTCTAATGACAACGCTTTTTTAATATTGAGAAGCTACGAAAACAGTTATTTAGAAGAGAGTTAATTAGGGTGACGGTGTTATACGTAATAAAGTACACCACCGCCACCCGATGGGGCAGCGATTCGTTCAGTGGCGGCGCAAGAAAAGGTGAAGGTCAGAAAACCAAAAAGTGCCAAAAAAAAATCAAGCCAAACACTTTTGTAGGTTTTTTGACCGCCACAAGTTGCACCACCCCTGGCCTAACCACCCCGACACACATTACTTGTTCAGCGCACATACTGAAATTACACAATCATTTTTTGTTAATAGGCTGCAGAATTATCAGTTTAATCATTTTTATCGAAGAGAAATGATGATTTCTGTTTTCTTTACTTTTCAAATTATTACTGTTATTATAAATTAATAACTGTTACCTTAACGGTTAAATAGGCGATAATCGTTATGTTTCGATTATTTACCGATTTTTTTCTCCCCATAATGTGGTATAGGTCCTCATATGGGGAGGGGGCGCCAGAGCCTCGTTAGTGGGGAGCAGGGTGTACCGCGAGCAGGTGAGGTTGACTTTGGCATGATGGGAGCCACTTACACCCCATGGGAAGAAGTTGGGGTCATTAGTCACGAGGTTGTTATTGCGACTGTTGACTGTTGCGCGTTCTCGGAGCCGAGTGGAAGACACAGCCAGGTCGCGTCGCTTCTGAAATGAATATTGGTTTTTATAAGTGACATTATTATTGAAGGGTGTGACATATTTGAAACATTTTTCGCAGCTTACCTTCATGTCAGTTGCTGTATGTTTAATCAGCGGCAGGCTTAAGGTCATGCAGCATCAGGCGCCGTCAGGCATCGGACACCTAAAAATAATCAAAAATTAAATGTAGGGCTAGAGTATGTGATATAATTTGCGTCATATAATATAAAAATCATCAACTTACCATCACACCACGTGGCCAGGAATGTCCGAAACGAGTGCAGCAGAACGCTGGTGTGGTGGTGTCTTGGGAAGGAAGTAGCTTCTCAGATTTCGTTAGCCAAACGCGTCCAGCAACTGCAAACACCTTAAACCTGCAACAGGCATTTATTTAAATGCTATTATTTCTGCCGTTTAGAATCATTCTTATACCCCATACCCCATACCCCATACCCCATACCCCATACCCCATACCCCATACCCCATACCCCATACCCCATACCCCATACCCCATACCCCATACCCCATACCCCATACCCCATACCCCATACCCCATACCCCATACCCCATACCCCATACCCCATACCCCATACCCCATACCCCATACCCCATACCCCATACCCCATACCCCATACCCCATACCCCATACCCCATACCCCATACCCCATACCCCATACCCCATACCCCATACCCCATACCCCATACCCCATACCCCATACCCCATACCCCATACCCCATACCCCATACCCCATACCCCATACCCCATACCCCATACCCCATACCCCATACCCCATACCCCATACCCCATACCCCATACCCCATACCCCATACCCCATACCCCATACCCCATACCCCATACCCCAAACCCCACACCCCATACCCCACACCCCATACCCCATACCCCATACCCCATACCCCATACCCCATACCCCATACCCCATACCCCATACCCCACATGTTACTTTAGTACATGTACAGTGAATTAACAGCAAGCATTTGAACAATTTTCATTAGCATTGTTTTAGTGCCGCGGGAAATATAACTACTACAACAACTTCGCAGTGCAGCAATGTCATCGATCGACCACGCCCAGTACGGCACCATAACCCTCTTCCACATTTTACTTGCCCCTGTATTCGCAACCCCGCACTCCCCATGACTTTGAGACAAAGAACTGATTTCCAAAACACGCTTTTGACTTTCTTATTATCAATTGCATATTAAGGTAACCACAGCAGACTCTCAACCTAACCTCTATACATTTTGGTCGCATTAGCTGGGCGCGATTCGCTGAAGTATCACAGGAAACTTAAAATCTTAATAGTTTTACGCTAATGATTGAATAAACGCAAATGCACTTACCTGCATCATCAGCCCTTGAGCTTGAAGAGGTGGGCTCAGCCCTGGCGCCGTGAGGTGGCGCGAAGTAGCGACGCGTCCTGACCGGTGGACGGCGCGAAACGCACTGAGTGCACAAAGGAAGTCTAGCCTAGATCAGTCTAGCTGCACTGCGCAGGTCACAAATTGCAATCAATACTTTGGAGATGCAAGTATTTTATGAGTCGGTTGTGACACTGTAATATACCTAGATGGTAATTGACATAACAGAGGTAGGATGACGAAAAGAAATATATGTGCTGATGGTAAGCAGTTGCTCATGGATGCACCCGTGACAATAAAGGAGATTCCCCAAATCCCTAAATCTCCAAATCGTCGGCAACGCACTCGTAACTCCTCCGTTGCGGGTGTCCACGGACGGCGTTGATTGCTTACCATCAGGTAATCCGTCTGCTCGTTTGCCGATTTATTACTTTAAAAAAAAAGAGAATTGCATGTGCGGTGCGTTCCATTTAAGGCGTTAGAAATTTGACGATTAATTATTCACGCTGTGTATTTATTAATGTTTCACGCTTACTCTTACTCCGTTCGAGCCAGCCCCGGTATGTGTCAAAGCATGGTTCTATAGCACTTAAAAGAAGCAAGTATATTAACATAATTTGAGTCACGCACACAGTATATGTCTTGGTGGCCCGGAGGTTAAGGCGCCCGCTTCTCATGCATGAGGGTTCGAAACCTGGCAAGTGCCAATGGGACTTTTTCCGAGTTATATGTGCTTTCTATGATTATTTAGACACCACTGACATACGGTGAAGGTATACACCGCGAGGAAACCTGGACTTATAATTTCTGATTATAAGTTTGAATTCGCCAACCCGCATTGAGCAAGCGTGGTGATTAATACTCTAACCTTCTCCGTATAAGAAGAGGCCTATGCTCAGCAGTGGGCATTTATAGGCTGATGAAAGTCAAAAGTAAAAATCATTTATTTCAATTAGACCACAGTAGGCACTTTTGAACGTCAAGCAAGCAAAAAAGGAAAAAAGTATATAACATGAGCTTTAAAATTAAGCATGTCAGTCTGTCCGTCTGTCCTCTAGTGAAGCTATTTGCTCGTTCCAAAGTGTAGATTCCTATGGAGAAGAACGAGCAAGAAACTCCATGGTTACTCTTTTTCAATCAGTTTTACAATACATTTCTTTGTTACATCATTTAGTTGGTTCTGATATGTGAGAACAATGTAACACTAATGTTCAGGCAAAAGGTACGAAAAAGAAGTGAACCTCAAGGACAACATATTTAGACAGCCTGGAGATGACCAGTCCCAATAGGCGGCGCCCGTTCACGAACATGACACGTACACCAGCACCGCCCAACTCAACCATATTATAGGGAATTGGGCGATCCAGTGGCCGTGCCACCGCCAATGAGACCTCTAAGTGAGCATGACAGCTCCCAGCCGACACAAGTACCTATATTCTACAAGTCTTACTTAATTATAATAGGTTACAGGGTACTCACATTTACAAAAACTTAGAAGTTCATCAACAATTAACAACATAGTGTACAATTTAATAATTAAAATCAAAAATTCCTCTAAACATCCTGTGGAGTAGGACCAGCTAGCCTCCAAGCATTTTTATCTTGTATATAATCATTTAGTTTGTAGTATGCTAGTTTACATAAATGTTTCTTTATACATAATTTAAATTTGCTTTCATTTAGATTTTGAATTTCAACTGGGATTTTATTATAACATTTAACACAGAAACCCAGAAATGACTTATGCACTTTTGCCAATCTAAATAAAGGCTGACTCAATCTATTCCTATGTCTAGTATGATAATCATGTTTGTCAGATACCTTTACAAATAAGTGTAGGTTTTTCCTAACATACATAATGTTTTCATAAATAAATTGACTCGGTACGGTCAGAATGTTGATCTCCTTAAACTTTTCTTTGAGAGATTCGCGACGACCTAAGTTATATACAGCTCTGACGGCACGCTTTTGCAAGATAAAAATATACTCAACGTCGGATGCCTGTCCCCACAACAGAATTCCATACGACATGATGCTGTGAAAGTAGCTAAAGTACACTAGTCTTGCCGTGCCTACATCGGTTAGCTGTCGGATCTTCCAGACAGCATAAGCTGCAGAGCTCAATCGTCCTGCTAGAGACCTGATGTGGGGCCCCCATTGCAACTTCTCATCTACAGTGATCCCCAGGAAAGTAGTCTCTTTTACAAATTCTAGTTTCTGATCATTTAATAATATATCATCACATACGTTTCTTTTAACATTTGGTAAAATAAATCTAATGCATTTAGTCTTTTTATCATTTAGTAGTAAGTTGTTTATTGTAAACCAATTTTGAACCTTCATTAAGGCATTATTAACTTCGTCATATTTGTTTGTTTGTCTATTTATTTTAAAAATCAATGAAGTGTCATCAGCGAATAATACCATATGCGGTTCATTTTGGAACAAATGGGGCAGGTCATTCACATAAACTAAAAATAGAAAAGGACCTAATATTGAGCCCTGCGGTACGCCCATAGATACGCTAGCACCCAGTGAGTTAACTTTGTTGACTTGTACTTTAATTTTTCTTTCTTGAAGGTATGATTTCAATAAATCTAGGGATACCCCCCGAATGCCGTAGTGTTCTAGCTTCAGTAACAGCGTCTCGTGCTCAACACAGTCGAATGCCTTTGAAAGGTCGCAAAATAATCCGATGGCATCCTGTGCTTTTTCCCACGAGTTGAAAACTTGTTTTATAAGTGATACTCCTGCGTCCGTAGTGCAACGTCCTTTGGTGAACCCGTATTGATGGTCATGGAAAATAGAATTCGTGTTAAAGTGACGCAGCATTTGAGTAAGCATCAACCTTTCGAACACTTTACTGAGCACTGGCAAAATAGAGACCGGCCTATAGTTATTAGGTTCTGTACTATCGCCTGATTTAAATAATGGAACTACTTTACTATGTTTCATTAAATCCGGGAAAACCCCTTGATCTACACTTTTATTAAAAATGAAAGTTAAGTGCGGCGCAATAGTCTCTATAAACGACCTGCACACTCGAACAGACATTCCCCAAAGATCTTCAGTTGACTTTACTTTGATCTCATTGAACGCCTTTATTACTGCCTGGGGGGTTGTGTATTGAAAGCTAAAGTCAGAAGGACATTCTTTGACGTTACCCCTGAGAAGCTCGACAGAAAGAGCTGGAGATGATTTTAACGTTTCCGTAGTTTTAAGAGGAATATTTTTAAAGAATCTTTCGAATTCCTGGGCAACTGACGAATTTGAACTAGTATATCCCTTTTCGGTTTTTAAATTAAATTCATTGTTTTGTGATTTATTTCTACCTGTTTCTTTATTAATTATATTCCAGGTAGCTTTTATTTTGTTTTCCGCGGTCCTGATTTTATTACTAATGTGGAGCGACTTAGCATGCTTACATACTATTTTAAATATTTTTGAATATTTGGAAACGTGTCTGCGAAAAGCCTCGCTACTATTAAATGGTTTCAGGCCGTATAGCTCAAATAACCTGTCTCTACTTATACGAATACCTGGTGTAGCCCAGTCACAGAATACAAATTTACACTGAACATTTTTACGTTTTAAAGGAAATAGTTTATCGAACTGTATTTTTATAAGGGATAATAAATTAGCATATATCTCACTCGGGCAATTATTGTCTTGTACTTGGCTGCATAATTCATGTTTTAGCTTATTATTTAATAAATAAATTTTTTTGTATGTGATTTGTCTGAACAATATTTCCTTATTTGGCACAGTTGTGATAGTATTAAAGTTAACTGTGAGCCCACTGTGATCAGATGGTAATCTATTTACAATTTCACTTTGTAAATAATCACAATTACAGAAAATATTATTTATACAAGTTGCCGAGGTGGATGTTACTCGGGTGGGCTCAAGGAAAACATTAGACAAATCAAATGATTGAAAGAGACTTAACAAGTTTGTACAATGAGAATTGTTTTCTAAGAGATCAACATTAAAATCGCCACATACTATTGTACATTTACTACTAGAACATGTTTTCCGCAGTACATCTTCCATTACAGAGCGAAAAATATTTAGATTCTGTATGTTAGGAGGCCTATAAACACATACTACAATATGCCTATCCAGCTCAACACAGGACAACTCTATTGTGTGTTCAATTGACAGCAGAGCAATTTCTTGTCTTTGTTTATATTTTATTGAGTTCTTTACTAAAATTAGGCTACCACCATGTATCATTGCTTGGCGGCTATAATTGCTGCCAACACAATAGTTATTGAAGTTAATTGTTTCTACTTGATAATCTTTTAACCAATGTTCAGTTAAACAAATAATATCATATTGGAATTTCTCTAAAAACAATTCCATTTCTAGGAATTTTGATGATAAGCCCTGAATATTTTGACTGTACAAGGACAACAAGTTATCTAATTTAGTTTTATGTTTTAATTTAAATTGATGCTTAATAATATTGCCAGAAGAAACCTTTTCAATGAATGTGGATTTTGAGTAATTTAATTGGTTATCTTCTGTTGTCGTGGAAGTCAGTTTAAAAGAATACTATCCGGAGTGCTATCCACATTTGTCAATAAATCTGGAGCCTCCTTCGTACTATTGTATGTACAATTAATCTCTATATTGTTAGATTGTCTAATCAATATAGTTTTGTCACTAAAACTACTTATTAATAAATTAATACTATTTGCTAGCAAACTAGCAATTAATAATTTACATTTCCTGGGAATATACATATAATCCCGGGTCAACTTAAAACCACTAACAAATTTGTTAGTGTCAAAAAATGATAATTTGTCACTATGACAAGAGGTCAAAAAAAATATTAAATTGTTCAGATGATGAATTCTACTATTTTCACTTTGTGACAAAGTGTCAGCATATGGGAATGCACATAACATTATATTCCCTGTGTTTAGTCTTAATAAGGTGTTGATACCATCAGTTATATCCCGTTTACTCCTGTACTATCACCCATCAAAAGCACTATTGGCTGATTTTGTGTGATCTGTTTCTGTGAAATTATTTTAATAATCTGGCCAAATTTTATATTATGATAACAGTAATTAGTTATCCTATAGTTAAGGCAATTGGCAATAAGTGACCCAATACCTGCACCCACTGAGTCCGTAAACACACCAGCGCTGTATGTAACAGCTGCTTGACTCATTGGTTGCTGTACAACTTCTGGCTCAGAAGGTGGAGTGAGGGCACAGCTACAAGAAAGATTATTCGCAAGAGACTCATACCTCTCAGCACTATAAGTTACTAGATCCACAAGTTTACCTGCCTCAATCATATGTTTGTTTATTTCCAATTTCCATCACTTTGTGATGATGATGATGATGATGATGATGAACGCACGAATGCAGCAGGACGACCTCGAGCAGGGTCAAATAGCGGGACAGCGTGAAGCGTATTCCGGTCGCCTTCTCCACAATCACGATCACAACCACCCTGTCAAGAGTAAACCAATTAAGAAGAAGAATATTATGGGACATTTACTTTCCCCAAGAAATCAGGTACGAGACTTCTGATATAAAAGTGTCTAACGATTCCGTCTAATAAAAATATTATATAAAAAGGTCTAACGATTCCGTCTAATAGAAATATTTTTTGCACAAAATTGCCCCTTTATTACATAGCCCGCATAAATTCAATGATGATTCAACAGTTCATAAATCAGTAAACTAAACTAGACGATCTGCATACAGATAACACAACAGTAAAATCTAAAATGAAGGTGGAGACAGAATGCTACCTTGGGGAACACCAATTATCAGATCTGACAAAACTGCTTCAAACAATCATCAAGCTGGACTGATTGATAGAGCTACTGAAGATTCGTTATGAATCTAACCTAATGATATGTCAGAGTTCGTAAATACGTATATATGTATATTATATAATGTTAAAATGATGACTGAGAATGTTAAAGGCTTAAGACAATTCAAAGAAACATTAACCAAATTGTTTTTCACGCACGCAACTGAAAGCAAGACCTTATACCATATTGGACTACTCTAACTGTAGGTAACAAGATTAAGTTAGTATAGTTGAAATAAAGGTGGCAAAAAATAGTTTTAAACTAAGAGAGAACTAAGTAAGATAGATTCGGGGTTGGGGGGCGCGGATCGAGCCTCCTTTAACCTCACTTGGTGTAATACAATGCAAACGTTGCTTCACCGTGATTTCATTACGGTTGGGCCATCCCATTCATATAAAGTAATGGCTCTCCCTAATAAACATTTAGCTGTACAATACAATAATGTCATAAACATAGGGACATTGAATTCGCTGCCTACCCCTACTAGAAATTAAAAGGGGTTCTGATGCATAACTCTAAGTTACAATGTCCATCCAATCCACCCTCTTTGTGTGAATGCAATATTATGCAGATGTGACACAGAAGGCTAAATATTTTAAAATTATACTGTAACATTATTTACATCACCAGCCTATAACTGTCCACTCTTGACCTAAGGCACTTTCACACACGGAGAAGAAATGCTTTCTCACTATTATGTTTTGTCAGTGGGGTTAGATGAGGCTCAATAGAGCAGCCGAGATTGCTGAACTGGCCTTATCGGGCCGGGTGTCAGAGCAATATTGCACCGCGGCCCTGGCCGGCAGGATAAGCAACGGGGTAGATTTTAGGAAATAATAATCTGATTGTCCCATCATCATTTTCCACCACCAAAAGGAAAAGTACTGATATTTTTTTTACGTTTTAGCGACTTTGAACTTCTGCAGCCGTCGCATTCAGTGCACAATTCTAGAATATTCTGTCTGCACTGCGCAGGTCACAATTAGTCCTTCGGTGTATGATATATTTGTATGCAGTTATTGTATACTACTACTGTTGAAGGAGAGATTCAGAAGGTTTAACAGCATCGAGTCTTCATAACTATGAGGGCCGATCATTATTGTTTCAAGCAATAAAAATATACTTAAAAATTTAAAAACCCTCGACTAAGGGTCTTCTTTTTTTTATTTTGAACTTTTTACAGGTATTATATTTTATAGCTTTTATAGGTACCTACTATATATCATTTTATATTACTAAGAGCACTCTCGATAAAGCCATCAAAATTCTCTTTCAGTGCGCTTTCATTTGAGACCCTACTCGAGTATACATATTTGTTTGGTTACCCTTCCCCACTTACACCCCCATAACTTCTAAACGGCTCAACCGATTTTCATCAAACATGTCTAAGAACATTCGCACGTTAGCTACCTTTAATACAAAAAAAAACTAAATTGAATTCGCTTTATCTGTTCAGACTCGAGGATGCCACAGACAGATAGACAGACAGAAATGTCAAACTCATAACACCCCTCTTTTTCCGTCGGGGGTTAAAAAGATTATGATGATCTAACACAACATAATAAATGCAAGGGACCAACGGTTTTCACGGAGAAACAGCGCAAAATTTAAAACCATTCATCATATTTTTTTTTTTGAGAACATATCATCAAATTCCATTCCCGCCCTGGGCGAAACGAAGTGTTAGACTCTCACTGATTAAAAAGCACCCCTTCTTCTCCTGCTCCGGGGTGATGCCGCTGTACATGATTGCGATTGGGCCCCAACTCCGATTGATTGAACGGATTACCTGATGGTAAGCAAAATGCTCATGGACACCCGTAACCGTAATCAGAGGAGTTACCAGTGCATTGTCGGACGTTTGGAGATTAGGTATTTCAGATGTATAAGATGAAGGGAGGATGGAGCCTTCGGTTACCTCACTTACACAGTGAAGCACAACGCTTCGGTTGTATCACGCCAATTACATTATCTGTGAGGCCGTGGTATAACTTTATGTGGGTGGTTTATCATTTTCATGTCTACTAAGCGAGGTTGACCTTCTGGAGTCGTGATGTTGTGTGCAAAAAAGGTCTAAAACATTCTGATTGCACTGCGCAGGTCACAATCAATATTTTCAAGAGAAATATACATACAGGTTCTGATGGTAAGCAATCGGCAACGCCCATAGGTGTGTCTAAAACCAGGGGAGTTAAAAGTTCATTGCAGGTCTTTTGGGGATGAGGATTTTGGATATTTTCCCATCGAGGAGGAATGGGGGGAGGGGAAGAATTGGGCCTCCGCGCTCCGGTAACCTCAGTCGCACGGCGGAGAACAACGCTGTAGTTGTTTTATGGCGGCTTTCTGTGAGGCCGTGGTATAACCTATATTAAAAATTCTATTCTATTCTAAATCATTCGGCACAAAGGTTCCAGAAAAGAAAATTATTTTAGATGTCTGTTTTAATAGGTTTTTATGGAATACTTTCCCTGACTCATACTGACTTAAACAGGAGAATGAAGGGGGTGTCCTTGCTTCTACTTCCTTACAAGGGGATAACCCCTTGCTTCTCGTTCTCCAAGCTGAGCCTTACCCGTTATTGCAGTTCTGTTTGTTCTGGGAATCGAACCCTGGAACCTTAACGTAATTGGAGAAAAGCCAGGGTTGCAGATGCCAGTGCTGTGATGTACAGCAGCCCCGGCTCTATGCAACAACGCGGAGGTTTTTAGTCAGTGAGATTCTTTCTTGCCCCACTTAGAGCAGGAAAAATCATATCATATTCTTCTCAAATTAGAAAAACTTACACAAATACAGTATTTGACACAGCCATGTATTGATTTTGACCTGCGCAGTGGAACCAGAATATTCTAGAATTGTGCACTTAATGCAATGACTGCAGAAGGTTCACCTCGCTCAGTGCGCCAGATCAAACTGCACACACCGTGAGCAGCATATGCAGCCGCAGTATAGCGTGCAGTCTCCGACTGCCGTGAAGTGAGTTCCGCGCGTGCCTCAAAGAGCCAATAGACCACCCCAGAGGGGCCCAGCAGGGCTGTTGTTCAGCCGGATTTCAAGTTAGAGCAATGTGGCACCGCGGCCTCGGCCCAAAACAGGAGAAGGAACACTGTTCCTTTATTACTGTTTTTCAACTAGTTTCACTATTGATTTTCTTTGTTACGTCATTTAGGCGGTTCTAGTGAGAACAGTGTAACACTTATTTTCTAAAAAGTAAAGGGCTAAATCGCCCAAGAATCGAAAAAGAAAAGAACCTCAAAAAGAAATAACCTTAAAATTGAACACGACCTAAATGTTCAATTTTAAGGTCTTTTTGAGGTTCTTTTCTTTTTGGTTAAAGAAAATAACATTAAAAATATAAAATAACCTCAAAAACCAACATAACTTCAATTCTTGCCCAGAATACTTTTCGATTCTTTCCTCAGTTCCATAATGCCATCTCATTCTTGGTATCCCTAACAAGCAGCTAAACCTTTTGATAGTTTACCTGTCCAGTTGCATAGATAATATAACTGCATACTGATATAACGATTCTTCTAAATATTGGTTGTGACCTGCGCAGTTCAGTTAGAACATTCTGGATTTCAGCAGAATGCACTCAATGCTGCAGAAGGTCTATGTCACTCAAAGTGTGGGAACGGATAGCTTAAATATACAGCTGTATTTTGGACCTCCTCTACACAAGAGGGGTTTGCCAAAATCTTCTTTAAATGGTTTAGTGGTAGGAGCTAGGGTAGTGACAGATATTTTATACCCTTTTTATTCAGAGGAAAATCATCAAATGACTTTTCGCGCCCAGGATAAGGCAAAAGGAAGTATTAGACACTCACTGACTAAAAACCACCCTGCTTCTTCTTCTGCTCCAGGCCAAGGGCATGGTACCTTATTGCACTTGCCCCGCAAGCCTGACTGAAAAAATTTATACCCTGCCATCACAAAATGACTTAATATTCTGTAATATCCAACAAAGTCTCAAAACCTTGGACAGGTATACCTTCTGTAACCAACTTTACATCATAAACACTATAAGATGAGGTGCATTGTATAGCTAACTTCAAATTATTGATCGTGACCTGCGCAGTGCAGGTGGAACGTTCTAGAGGTCTAGATTGAGTGCTAGCGAGGCGTGGCTCACCATCAGTGCGGCCTGTGACGTTGGCGGTGCAGGACGTGTCAGTCTGAGCGTCGCTCGGAGCTGCTGCTCCTGCAGTTCGCATCTTCACTGGCGTTAACATCTTGGTAAGTTGAAAACCGTTGCTGAGAAGAATAGTGCAGAATTTGCATTGCATTACTGAGGATGATCATCAAATGACTTCTCCTCCTCCTCCCCCCCTCCCACTCCTGGGTCTTTTTGTCAGGGAAGAATCATCAAATGACTTCTCTCACCCATAAGAAGGCGAGAGGGAGTGTCAGACTCCTGCTGTCTCAAAACCCCCCGTTCCTGCTCTAGGCCGAGGCGCGGAACTTGATTGCGCTTGCCCCGCCACTCGGTGGGTGGGGCGAGAGATCAGACACTTACTGACTAAAAGACGCTTCGTTCCGCGTCAACCGCTCCTAGCCGGACTTTAGCCCTATATTGGGCTCCATCTCTGGTTTCCTCCTGACCTTATGTCAGCACTTCTGCAAGAAAACCCTAACGTTAAAGAGCCCTGCTAAGACCTGTATGACCTTCATCTGGTCATAGGAATCCTCTGATATTTCTACAACGGCACTCCATGTTCCAGGTGACTGATGCTGTGCGACATCTCCACCTGTCTCTGACAGCGGTGCAGCAGCTCGTGGCCACAGAAGCACTTCGTTCTCAATGAGGGCTAAGGTATCGAATCTACCTTCTTGCTTATAAGGATGTATGAAATGGTTATACTATGAATGGATGCTTACATTTTTATATGCTTACATGCGTGATTGTATGATTGCATAAATGCATGAATTCACGGATAAATGGATGCATGGATACCTGGATGATGAATGCATGGATGCGTGTATTATGAGATGTATGGATGCGTGGATGCAGGGATGAATGGAAGCATGGAAACATGGATGCATGGGTGCATGGATGCGTGGATGCGTGGATGCATCGATGCAAGGATTATTGTATGCATGGATGCATTGATGCCTGCATCATAGAGGCATAGGTACATGGATGCATGCGTGCAAGAATGCATGCGTGCATGGATGCATGGATCCACGAATGCGTTGATTAATTGATGCCTAGATGCGTAGATGCATAGATGCATTGCTGCATGTATGCATGGCTGCATGGATGCATGAATGCATGGATGCATGGGTGCATGGATGTATGGAGGCTTTGATGAATGGATGGATGAATGCATGGATGCGTGTATTATGTGATGTCTGGATGCGTGGATGCAGGGTTGCATGAATGCATGGATGCATGGAAGTATGAAATTATTAATGCATGGATGCATCGGTGCATGGAAGCATGGAAGCATGGAAACATGGATGCAAGGATGCATGGGTGCATGGATGTATGGACGCATCGTTGCATGGATGAATGGACGCAAGTATGCATGGACGCAAGGATGCATGGACGCAAGAATGCATGGATGATTGGATGAATGGATGCATGAATGCATGGATTCATGGATGCATGGATACATGAATGCACTGATGACAGGATGCATAAATGCAAGGATCCATAAATGCATGGATGCTTAGGGAAAGGATGCATAACGTCATAGTTGCATGGATGCATGGATACATGGATGCATGGATGCGGACGTTATGCATCCTGGCATCAGTGCATTCATGTATCCATGCATCTATGAATCCATGCATTCATGCATCCATTCATCCAATCATCCATGCATTCTTGCGTCCATGCATCCTTGCGTCCATGCATACTTGCGTCCATACATCCATGCACCCATGCATCCTTGCATCCATGTTTCCATGCTTCCATGCTTCTATGCACCGATGCATCGATGCATTAATATTTTCATACTATATTCATCATCATCTTCATATAGCAATACCCATATCCATGCATTCATCATAGTTGCATGGATGCATGGATACATGGATGCATGGGTGCAGACGTTGGACGCATGGATGTGTTGTCACATGGATGCATGAACGCATTGATGCATGGTGCATCAAATACAGTCTGCAAATGTGTGTGTTGAAAGACCAAAATAATAGTGTAAAGTTATAGACTAGTCAAGTAGCTTAAATGAAAAAAAACTATGACATTATTGCAGGTATTCTGCGGACGAGCTGCGTCACCAGCGCGCTGGAGACATGCGGAGGTCTGGTTAAACAGCGCCAGCCCTTTGACACCAGCGCACTGAACCTTCAACCTCCTCAGAAATGTAGCAACATTCTCATCTAGAGTATTGCTGCATTTCTATGGACCATCTTCCGGATAGCTGACAACGGCTGGCGCGGGTCCTATAAGACCGAGGCAAGGGGCTGATGGACCGTGTTTTACAAAATATGCTCCTACAGTGGCTCTCCTCGCTCGTCTAGAACTCGCGCCAGAAATCTAAGGAGTGAAGAAGAGAATTCTACCAAGAGCATCAGTAATACTCCAGTATTCCTGGTATTCTTAAATCTATGTCATCGGTTCAGATCTCGTCTTCTCTCCTTAAAGACCTTCTTCATCAATAGATTAAGTATGTCCACACTGATTTACATTAACACCTACCTACATATAAACATTAATACGGATCACGTATTCATTCACATCCTTGAGTGGTTCGTGATTTACATCACGTATCGAAATAGAATCTTAAGTTAGCCATAAGGAAATTTTGTGTTTTATTTTTACTTACCATACCTATCTTCACACCTGCTGGGTAATGGACTTCCTTTACGTTTTTTTTTTTTTTTTGATGAAATGATGAACTCGAGTATATCGCTGATCAAGGCGATAGAGAATACATAGCGAGGCTACATCCCTACGCAGTGACAAAGAATCAGAGAGATTTCCTATAATTAGAGGGGTTTTCCATATTCTCCTGTCAGGCGAGTTGGAGACGGAGTTTTTTATGTGTTTGGTCGGTAAGGATCAGATTGGTTACCTGATGGTAAGAATTCGGCTCCAACCATGGGCACACCACAATGCCAGTAGTTTGCGATGTCGGCCATTAGGTTGACGGAGATTACTGGGAGGATTGGGAGAGGGCAAGAAAGATTAGATCACTGGTAACCTCAATGGCACGGCAAAACACAATGTGGTTTTCTGTGAGGCCATGGTATCACTCCGGTCGAGCTGACCCATTCGTTCCGAAGCATGACTCCTGCTCACTTTTAAAAGGTTCAGGTTTATTAGAAAGCGCTGCTGCCATCTTAAATGGTAAGATTTAAGGATAGAAGAACAGACCACTACAACTTCGTTATCATTCGTCTTAAAAGAACCACCGTCTTTGTTCGCTAGATGGCGTTAATGTAGCGTTATGTCTATCGTCCAATCAATGGAGCTATCAAAAATTGAACTTCTAATGTTTTTAGACTAGTTATTTTTTGCACTAACATACCTCAGGCTAAGTAAGTACTAGCTTGTGACTAGGGGAAGGGAATAGAACTAAAATGATGATCACTGTGGAAATCTGCAGACATTAAAAATAAACTGAACAATAATAGAGTACGCCATCTACTGAGCAATGTGCTAATTCAAGAAGCCGATGGTAGTGCCCTTCTTTTAACTTCAGTAGCCTTCCTCGATTGGTATAGTTTTCAACTAGCAATAATCGCACCTGGGCTTAACCACAAGGGTTGCGGGGTAAGCGCAATGAGGCACCGAGGCCACGGCCTAGAGCAGGAGAAAGAACGGGGGCATTTTAAGTCAGTAAGAGTCTGACACTAACTCTCCCCTCACCCTAGGCGGGAGAAGTCAATTTATGACTTTTCCCCAAACAAAACAAGGGCTTCCTCAATCAACATGTTCAAGCCAATGCGATTCAGAAGTTTCAAAAACTAACAAACTATTCAGCTTTATAATATTAGTTTACATAGGTAGATACCACGCCTAGTTGAAGTGGCCATCTAAAATCGATCATCATTATGTTGACACCTCCTAAAATCGTAGATCTGATCGTCCTTCCCTACCCAAATCCTTAAAAGGCCGGCCAGCAACACTCTTGTATCTCCTCTGGAATTGCGAGCGTCTATAGGCGGCATTCAGGCTAAAAGAAAAGTCGTTAACATCTTGGAGTATAAGTGACAATATGGGGAGGTGCCTCAAGAAAATTTCTTGGAGCGATTCTCCAAAATAACTCACAGATATCCAGAAGAATAAAAATGATAAATAAAACAACTGTTTATTCTATATGTACAATTATTTATTTTTAATTATTCTTAGCTTATTTATTTGACGATAACCGTGTATTATAATCCTCTTACAACCTACCGGCACATTATATTTATTATTGTAGTCGCTAGGTATTATGCACCGCGGCTGCGACGGAGACGCAGTCGCAGTCCATAACGAGCCCATGAGAGGCTGAGAGGATACCCATCATCTCCGCCTCGCAGGGGGCGCCAGAGCCTCGTCTGTGATTCAGCAGGGTGTACCGCAGGCAGGTGAGGTTGACTTTGGCTCTCAAGGCGGTGGGGAGCCACTTACACCCCAGGGATGTTAGGCGGAGATCAGGAGGCAGATTTCTGGCTTAGCTGGGTCGTCGTACTGCGTTATTCAGGTTCGGAGAGGGGTGTTGCGGCTGCTGTACTCCAGTAACCCTGAAACAGTAAATTGATAGGTCTTACACAGCAGCTCATGTAGTGTGGAAGTGGTCCAGTAACTGATGGTTGTTCGTTGTTGCCAACCAGCTCCGATAGAGCTCAAATCTGTTTGAGTCAATGGTTAACACCAGAATCAGTTCTATGGATAAAAGACTATCTCCAACACTTACCTTGATAGAAGGACTTGGGTTCTGGTGCGCAGTACACGTTGATGCGCTGCTTGAACCGATGGCAACTGTCTCCATCCATCAGGGACCTGGAAATAAAACAGATATCTTGATACTGGTATTCGCTAAGCGTAATAGACTTGTGTTGGAGAAAAGAAGGGAACTGGTTCTGCACTTCATATATCACAAAGGATTTGTAAAGGGCATCAGCCCCGCCCATGGACATCTGCAACACCAAAGTTGCCGGTTTTGAAGGTTTGAAGGTCGTATATAGCAGTGGACACAGATGGAATGGCTCCATACGTACCTGTCGATCGCGGGGTATGAAGAGATAAAGTTGCATTGAGCAGCTTATTGTCGGCTCCAAAGATCTGCACATCTCTCCCAGTGGACGGTTCGCAGCGCACTGAATGTAGGGGAACTCTAGTCTAGGCTGCCTAGGCCAGTCTAGCTTCACTGCGCAGGTCACGATCAATACTTTGGTTGTAGCTATACGATGCAGTTGTAGTATTTATGTGACTCAACAAAGTTCTATCAGAAGGATTAAATGTTTTTCTTCTTTTAAAAATTGTCATTTTTTTGTATGTAAACGATCGGCGAACGAGCAGACGGGTCCCTGATACCTGATGGTAAGCAATCAGCGCCGCCCATGGACACTCGCAACGGAGGAGTTACGAGTGCGTTACCGACCTTTTAGGGATTTGGAGATTTAGGGATTAAGCGATTGAGGAGGGATTGGGGGAGGGGAAGGATTGGGCCTCCGGTAACCTCACTCACACGGCGAAACACAACGCTGTGGTTGTTTCACGCCGGTTTTCTGTGAAGCCGTGGTATCACTCCGGTCGAGCCGACCCATTCGAGCCGAAGCATGGCTCTCCCACACTTAAAAACTGCTTACTTTTTTATGGAATAGGAGGCAAGCTAGCGGGTAAATCACCTAATTAATGCTGTAAGTACCCAAATGAGCGCCCGTCAACACCTGGAACTCCAAAAGAGTCATAGCGCATTTTAAAGGTCAGTAGTCGTTTCTTGAAGGTTTGAAGGTCGTATCGGTCGGAAAAACCGAAAAGATCATTCCAGTTTTGCTTGATGAATTATTTTTGTATTTTAACTTACTTAAGTTCGTGCGTCACTGCAGAGGCGCCAAATGAAAACTAGTATTGGGTTCTAACTGAGCCCAACTTACTGATATGGCAAACCTTTTGACATGGGCATGAAGCCGAGCCTTCAGCGATCAATGGAGAAAGCTATGCTTGGAGTTTCTTTGTACGTCAAAATGTCGAAATTCGCCAAAGAACCGGAGTCGCAGACTGACTGACTGACTAAAGTGGCAATGAGCAGGTCAGTTCGCTCGACGGACTGACTGGGCCGATGCGTCAGAGAAGTGCTTGAGTGAAGACCAAGTAGGACGTAGCATGGGCTAACCTCCTGCTAGGTGGACCGGCGACCTCGTCAGAGTCGCAAGGAGTCAATGGATGTTAGTGGCTTGTCGTTCGGCGTGGAGAACTAAGGGGGAGGCCTTTGTCCAACAGTCGTCGGACGTCTTCGTTTGCGTGGCCGACCTTTTGGGGATTAGGGATTTGCAGATTTTGGGATTGGGGGAGGGGAATGATTGGGCCTCCGGTAACCTCACTCACAAGGCGAAACACAACGCTGTGGTTGTTTCACACTTGAGCTTTCTAAGATTATTTAGATACCACACACATACGGTAAAGGTAAACATCATGAGGAAACATGGACTTATAATTTCTAATTATAAGTTTGAAATCGCCAACCCGCCTTGAGCAAGCGTGGTGATTAATGCTCAAACCCTTTCCCTGTGAGAAGAGGCTTTTGCTTAGCAGTGGGCACTTATAAGCTGATAATGTGATCTTTGATCATGCTGTGTGCAGCTCGAATAAAATGGACCTTCTGCTGCCGTCGCATTAAGTGCATGATTCTAGAATATTCTGGCTGCACTGCGCAGGTCACAAATACAAATAATCGAAAAGGGGGTAGAGACGTCACTTTGAACCAGTGCAGGCGTGGCCGTAGGTTAAAGTTTTTTTAGGAAATATGATGATGATGGTAGGTAATGAACATCGGCGCCGCACATGGACGCCCGCAATACAGAAGAGTCAGAAGTGGGTAGCTTTTCAGAAGTAGGAGGGTAGGGAGGAGGCAGTTGAAGAGAATTTGGAGGATTTAGATATTTTGAGACGGATTATAGGAGAGCCATGCAAAATGTAGGAGAGCATCACCACGGCCTCACAGAAAACCGGCGAGAATCAACACTTTTTTTGTCAAGGGAAATTCATCAAATGCTGTGCAAATGCAATGCAAATAAAAAAACAAATGCTGATAATTATAATCCAAATCACCCAATTATTAAATAAAATGTAAAGAGGTACTGTTTTTTTTTTATACTAATATTATAAACGCGGAAGTTTTTATGTAAGTACGTAATAATAGGTCGGCAAATGAGCAGACGGATTATCTGATGGTAAGCAATCAGCGCCGCCCATATATAATGGACGAGTTACGAGTGCGTTACCGACTTTTTGGGTAAAAGGGATTTGGAGATTTAGAGATTGGGGAGGGATTGGGGGAGGAGAGGGATCTGGCCTTCGGTAACCTGACTCACACGGCAAAAAACAACGTAAATAATGCTTCCAAGAATTGCAAAAAAAATACCGAAATATTCTTTCAAATGTATCTAAATAGGTACCTAAAATGTGGTTATTAGTTAGTAGCTTCAGCCCGCCTTTTTAATATTCTGGACGAGAGAAAGAAGGCAATTGATGACTTACCCGCCTCAAAAAAAAAACGATCACAACATAAGTACAATGTCTAATTTCCAATCAACAAACACTTATATGTAGGTACCTACATAATCTTCAATCCCAATGGTTAATCACAATCCTCTATATAGGTACAATTGCAAGCTCCAGTCCCCAATCATTATTTTACTCAATAAAACCAATCCGAAAAGGTCGGCTACGCACTTTTAACGTTGTTGATTCTAGTGCCCATGGGTGGTGCCAATTGCTTACTATCAGGTCTTTAGCCAATCTATTCCAAAATTGAAAATATCAAAAGTGTGGGGAGCCATACTTCGGCACGAATGGGTCGGCTCGACCGGAGTGATACCACAGCCTCACAGAAAACCGGCGTGAAATAACCACAGCGTTGTGTTTCGCCGTATGAATGAGCTTACCGGAGGCCCAATCCTTGCCCTCGCCCGATCCCTCCTAATTTCAAATCTCCAAACCCTAACCCCTAAAAGGTCAGCAACGCACTCGTAACTCCTACGTTTCGGGTGTCCATGGGCGGCGCTGATTGCTTACCATCAGGTGATTCGTATGCTCGTTTGCAGACCGATAACATAAAAAAACTTCTGGTCCAGAAACTAGTAGAAATAAAACAATTTTTTTTTAAAGTATAAAATTTTTATTTTAATCAGATTTTCACAACCATTAAGTACTAACTTACTTATTTTAATTGTCATTTCGAAAATACGGTCGACATCTTTACACTACCCAAATCATACCATATCACAATGGACATTTAAAAAAAAACAATCAAAACAATTCATTATTGGAGACTTTTTAGTGTAACAAAATAAAAAAAATAAAAAAAACAATTTCGATTTTATATAAATCCATAAAACATTAACAGAAAAATTTCATTCAACGAATTCAGAAAATATTCAACATTGGTACTATTGTCGAATTGTAGTGGACATGATAAATTTTTTTTTCTTTAATATAAACGTTGCCCCACACTAGGATTTTCTCCTGTGTCGTGGGTGCGGTTACAAACATACAATTCCACATACACATAACACCTAGACCAGATACAGAACAATTTGTGGATCACACAAAGAGTTGTCCCATACGGAAATCGAACCCGCGACACGTTGCACAGCAGCCCGTTGCCCAGCCACCGCACCAACCGTGCAGTCATTATTAATTATTTATACTTATGTAACATCTTGTTCAGTTGTACCTACATTCTTAGCAAATAAAAATTCTTGATTCTTGTCGCTAAATAGTAGTAGTACTTTTTTTAAATAAAAAATAACCTCTTACTGACGTTAATTAATTGAGAATCACACATAAACAGCCTATAAGTGCCCACTGCTGAGCAAAGGCCTCTTCTCACACGGAGAAGGTCTGAGCATTAACCACCACGCTTCCTCAACGCGGATTCGCGATTTCAAACTTATAATTAGAAATTATAAGTTCAGGTTCCCTCACGATGTTATCCTTCGCCATATTGTATGTCAGTGGTGTCTAAATAATCATAGAAGGTACATAATTATAACTCGGAAAAAGTTCATGCATGAGGAGCCTTGCGCTCATTAGTTATGTATAAATTGGCCGCTAGAGGCGCTAGTGGGAATAACAGTCTGTTGTCCAGTAGAGAATGTCCAAGTACTTTTTTAAAAGCTACAGCAATACGGTGATTTCCAACTAGTCAAATTCAATACTTTTATCCAAATGTCAAAAACGATACTTTTCTATTAAATTTGTATGAAAAACTGAGTTATGATGTCATAGTATTTTTGCGTCAAAAAGTTTATCAAAATATCTAAAATTCAGTGTATCGATCGATCGATGAATAAAAATATAGTTATTTTTCAATATTTTATTGTATTGAGACGTCGAATTAATTTATTTTTGACCTAGGAAACTACCCAATTGGAGATATAGACTTAATTCTACTAACGCCATCTAGTGACTACAACAGTGAAACTCTTAATTTGACTTATTACTTACATATACAACACAATCATGAGTATATCAATAAAAAAATACATATTTTTCTTAAATAATTTACAAAAATATTATTGAGCTTGTTACGCCAGTGACATTATAAGTAAAATGGCGTAGATTAGTTACATAAACAAAATTCGATTTTCAAATACGGCACACTAATGCAACAAAAATAAAACGTATGATAAACGTTAGAGTGGGATGGCATGATTCAATATTCGCGAGTGAAAAAGAGACAAATATGAAAAAGTGTGGCTAGTTAACCACATTTTAATGTATCACTTGCTGAGCGCTTGTAACCTATCTACACCTTTTTACTTATAATATCATTGTGTTACGCTATCAATAATCTAGCACCAAATTGGATCACACGATCAACTATTATCAGTTCATTGTGTCAAATTCTAACACTATTTTTTATAAGTGATTTTAAAAGAAAATTAATGCTTAATTAAGTTACAATGTAAAGATGAAGAAGAAGATGGTGATGGCTGCTAAACTATACTCATAGATTTGTAGCAGCCACGACCGCCATCTTGGATCGCGCAATCCAAGTAATCAAATTGGAACACCCGATACTAATAAATCAAATCCAAACTAATATTATAAATGCGAAAGTAACTCTGTCTGTCTGTCTTTTCTTCACGCCTTAAACTACTGAACCTATTTGTGTGAAATTTGCTACAGACATAGTTTGGAACTCGAGAAAGGACATAGGATAGTTTTTTAACCAATAATCTGCAGGAAGTCACTATTCCACGCTTTTTTTTATGTAATAGGTCGGCAAACGAGCAGACGGATTATCTGATGGTAAGCAATCAGCGCCGCCCATGGACACCCGCAACGGAGGAGTTACGAGTGCGTTGCCGACCTGTTAGGGATTAGGGATTTGGAGATTTAAGGATTGAGGAGGGATTGGGGGAGGAGTAGTAGTACACTTCCGGTAACCTCACTCACACGGCGACACACAACGCTGTGATTGTTTCACGCCGGTTTTCTGTGAGGCCGTGGTATCACTCCGGTCGAGCCGATCCATTCGTGCCGAAGCATGGCTCTCCCACACTTGAATAATGAGAAACGCTTATAAAGTCGCGGGCAAAAGTTAGTAGGGTATAAATTATACTATCGCTTTCAACGCTGCTGTTTTTAAGATTCCTGGATACATTACTTTTATACGCGTGGAGCTAGTATTTTATAATTACAAATACTCTTTTATAAAATGTTCATGTTTAACTATTTGAGTGAATGAAGTAAGCGTATGGCTGTTGCATAGGTTTTCATTATTAGGTGCCGTTGACACGATTCCTCTTAGGTAGTAGCGGTCGATTCCTCGATCTGACTCTGGGAAGGCCAGACCACCTCCACTGTCGCCCTTACACAATGCCGTCCCTGAAACGAAAATATTGGATTATCAAAAGCATCATCAGCTTGAAAAGGACCTCTAATGAGAGAGAGAGAGAGAGAGGAGTTTTTGACTCTTTTATTCTATGGAAAGTCTTCAAATGCTTCGGCACGAATGGGCCTCAACCGGACTCAGTGAGTGAGGTTACCGAAGGCCGAATCCTTCGCCACCCATCCCGCAAATCCCTATCCTGATTTCTTCATGGCATAGGTTAATCGGCAAACGAGCAGGCGGATTACCTGATGGTACGCAATCAGCGTCGCCTATGGACACTTGTAACACCAGAGGAGTTACTACAAGTGCGTTGCCTCTTGTGGGTTATTAGGGATTTAAGGATAGGGGATTTGAGGGTTGAGGATGGGGGCGGAGGATTCGGCCTTCGGTAACCTCACTCACACGGCGAAACACAACACTGTGGTTGTTTCACGCCGGTTTTCTGTGAGGCCGTGGTATAACACCGGTCGAGCCGACCCATTCGTGCCAAAAATGGCTCTCCCACACTTACCATTTCCAAAACCTGCGCAAATTTTATCGCTGGTGATGTACTCCCTGAAGCCTGGTGGTGATGATAGGATGCACTGTTCTATATCCACGTAGGGTAACTCCACAACCTTCAGGATCTGTGAGGCTTCTCCATTTTCAGACGTCAAACCCCAACCGGCCACCTGGTGTCATTAAAATCAAATTATAAATATTTTTGAGCGATGTCGTGGTGGCTGTTGTGTTAAGGAACCCGCTGCCCATGCATGAGGGTTTGTTTTGGAAACCTTTCAAGTTCTGATATGACTTTTTCCGAGTTATATGTACTTTCTATGATTATTTAGACAGCCATGACTTACGAATCGGTGAAGGATAACATCGTGAGGAAACCTGGACTTATAATTTCAGATTTAAAGTTTGAAATCGCCATTCCGTCTTGAGCAAGCGCAGTGATTTATGCTCAAAACCTTCTCCGTGTGAGAAGAGGCCTTTGCTCAGTAATGGGCACTTTTAGGCTGATGATGTGATATTGGAGAGATCAGAGAACAGAGTGTGAAGTTCCTCATCCTCCATTGAAAAGGGAGGATCCTCCGACCAGAAGGGTGTTGTGTCTGGTGGGCTACTGCCAGACGGTTGTTGTCGGGAATACGGTAGTTTCCAACTAGTCAAATTCAATACTTTTATCCTAATGTCAAAAACTATACTTTTCTATTAAATTTGTGTGAAAAACTAACATATGACGTCATTGTTTTTGAGCGTCAAATAGTTCACTAATTTTTTTAAAATTAGCTACAAAATATCTAAAACTTAATGTACTGACTTTGGCTATTTATTTAGTTCAAATCATTATACTCATTTCATCAATTAAAGCTCAGTGGTCTTCTACAGGAGAGGCCTTTATAAAGTCAGGAGTGAATGTGATGTTATTTTATATGGAAGCTCGTGTTGGGGACCAGTAGAGGAGAAGAAATGATGTACTCCACAACTGATGCAAATGATTACTTTTAATACTTCTAAATTTACATTTAAACGATGCTAAACGGATGACGACAATGGTTGTTCTGACGCGTTGATGAACAGTGGTATAAATATACCTATGGAGAATGAATCGATGCGCGGCGCGGAGCCAACGTCACTGTCACTGTCACTGTCACTGTCACATGTCACTCGTTGACGCTCTGTCGAACGTTGCCCCCCTCTTCCCCGCTCTCCTCTTGTACCTCGCAGCGTGAACAGCTCGGCTCAGAAAACGAACAGATGGATCAACTGGTGGCAAGCAATCGACGGCTCCCTTCGATACCCGCGACACGAGAGGTGTTACAAGTTCGTTGCTGGTCTTTTCAGAATTTGGATGAAATTGTATTTGGATAAAGAACCAGGAAAGTCGTCTAATAGCAACCAAAGACTGGAAGACGTAGCTTGGAAAGACCTCCTACTAGATGGACTGACGACATCGTCAGAGTCGCGGGGAACCAATGGATGCAAGTGGCGTGTTGTCGTTCGACGTGGAGGAATAAGGGGTAGGCTGTTGTTCAGTCGTGAACGACTCCCGGCTGATGATGATGATGATGATGATAATAATAATGATTATGATAGAAATCCATTCAAAATATTATAAAGAGGTTACATTTTTAAGTTTCTATGTAGGGGGTACCTAATCTTTGGATCCGCTGGTCGGATTTCCCAAATTCTTTCACTGATAGATAGCTACAATGTTCCCGAGTGCTATAAATTATACTTGATTTGCATATTTTACTCGAGCTATCGCTTTAAACGCTGTTATATTTAAAATCCTAGCATACAATACTTTAATACGCTTGCAAACAATGATATTATAAGTAAATGGTGTGTGTAAAAGGTTACCTAAACAAAATTTGATTTTCAAAAACGACACACTGATACACACATGAAACAATTCGTTAGAATGAAAGAATTGTTTAGACGTCAAAGTGAGATGGCATGATTCAATAATCGCGAGTGAAAAAGAGACAAATATGACAAAGTGTTGCTAGTTAGCCACAGCCACACAAACCCGCCAATGGAAGCCAGTCAGTCTTCAAAACCTACCTTCCCAAGTTTGCCTGGCTGCAGTTGTCTTCTGTCAAAATTGACGTCAAAATCCAGACATACTGGCCTTACGTACGTCTGATACACAAAGGCAGTTTCCAAAATAAGTATTGCAATGTCATCTTGGAAATTAGCCGCACTGCCTTGGAATCGGACCGGGATCTTGATTTCTTTGACCTGGTGAAAAAAATATATGCTTTATAAAAAGACTCTCACTAAACTTTTCCGGCGTGAAACAACCAGCTTTGTGTTTCGCCCCTTCTCTCCTCAATCCTTAAATATCCGTAACCCTGTTCCCAAAAAGATCGTCTAATAAGTCCTCTGGTCTTGCAGCCCCGTTTGCTGACTATCAGGCACTCGGTCTGCTCGTTTGCCGACCTATTCCATAATCCCATAATCAAATGTATTTAACCCAAGCGTTGTTCCAATGCAATCTGTGAGGCCGTGGTGTCACTTCAGTCGATTCGGCCCAATCAGCCTTCGTACCGAAGTAAGTAGTAATTTAAAATATTTACAAAACATAATTATGCGGGTATTAACGCGAAAAGTAATTATTTAAATACCTTTGGCGCCCGGTAGGCGTTTCAACCTGGTTGCACAGGTCGTGGTCGCAAGCAGACAGCAGTAAAGCCTTCCAAGGTATTTAAATATTTACTTTTCGCGTTAATACCCGTTATTAACATTTTATTATTAACGTTATTAACATGAAACCCGAAAGTTTAAAAGTTACCATTAAAAATATGTTAACTTCACAATTAAATGAGCACAATTTGCAACGCTTGTAAAAGGCACTAAGTTCTGAACTGTTTACATGTACTAAGAACATTTATAGTAAAACACAATGATGACAAAAAAAAAGATTTTGACTTTGTACAAATGTAGGTATGTATGAAAGAGAAAATCTCAAAAATTACTTACATCAGATTTTTGTGCATCGGTATCTCTTTCGTTAGCCCACGGACGGTATATCTTGCCGATGGCGACAGCATACATACTTGCCGGTTGCTGTTTACTGATGTCATCCCAGAAACAATGGGCGGCTGTGAATAAAACAAATCAGTAGCCTATTTTTGAGGAAAGGGGGGTAGACATTATATGTGTCTTCCTGGCATGGGTGGAGCTAGAAGTAATGTCAGACTCTTTCATACTGACTGAAACATGGCAAGAGTTCGAAACCTGGCAAGTCCCCTTGAACCCCATTTCAAGTTATATGTGCTTTCGTAGTTCATTTAAACACCACAGACCTACGGTGAAGGAAAACATACTTAAGAAACCTAGACTTTATAATCTTCATTATGTGTTTAAAATCGCCAATCTGGCTTATGCAAGCATGGTGATTAATGCTCAAACCTTCTACATATGAGAAGAGGCCTTTGCTCAGCAGTGGACACTTAGAGGATGGGAGAGATTTTTGGGAGGTGAGAATTATCAAAGGAGTTCTCATGCCCAGGGTAGGGCAGGAGGGAGTGTAAGATTCTTACAGATCAAAACACACCCGTTCCTTCCCCTGCTCTTGGCCGAGGTCGCGGTGACTCATTGCGCTTACCCCGCTACCCCGGTTGAACATCAGCCCTATACGGCCCCGTCTGTGGTGGTCTATTGGGTCTTTGAGGCACGCGTGAAACGCCACACACCATCCCTTCTGCGAGGCTGATGATGAGTCGGTTCTTATGACATAGAAAAGTAGGGGTGCTGACAATATACTTGTAAACCGTCAACATCAACATCAACATCATCAGCCTATAAGTGCCCACTGCTGAGCAAAGGCCTCTTCTCATATGGAGAAGGTTAGAGCATTAATCACCACGCTTGCTCAAAGCGGGTTGGCGATTTCAAACTTATAATTAGAAATTATAAGTCCAGGTTTCCTCACGATGTTTACCTTCACCGAATGTCAGTGGTGTCTAAATAATCATAGAAAGTACATATAACTCGGAAAAAGTCACATTGATACTTGCCAGGTTTCGAACCCACACCCTCATGCATGAGAAGCGGGCTCCTTAACCTCCGGTCCACCACGACCTTGTAAACCGTCACCACAAATTAATTGACAATTTTTTATGGAATAGGAGGCCAGCTAGCGTACTGGTGACCATCACCATCAGCCTGATTCCACAGCTGGACAAAGGCTCCTCTAATTGCACATCTTTGAGCTCGATTTTCAGCTCTTCTCATCTAACCACTGCCAGCAAGATGATGGCCTGATGGTAAGTAATCAGCGCCGCTCATGGACAACTGCGATACTAGAGGTATCATAGACGCGTTGCCGGCCTTTTAGGAAGGAGTACGCTCGTTTCTTGAGGGTCTGAACTTACCAGAAATAACAATCCTGTTAGTGACCAGAGATCCTCCGCAAATCTGCTTGTATGGTTTTGTTGTCTTTCGGTATATACCAACATGCCAAGGCAGTTCGCCACGCTTGGCTATCCGTCCATCGATGATGAGGTCTACTCCTTCAGGAGTCACTCGCCCACATTCTGAAAAGACAAGTTATTTTTTTGGAATAGAGAACAAAAGAGTGTTTCCTGATGGTAAGCTATCAGCGCTGCCCATGGATATCAGAGTAGTTACAATTGGTGCTTGTTGAGGATTAGGGTTTCGGAAATTTTGGGATTCTTTCAGAGATTGCGATAGGGGAAGGGGAAGGATTGTGCCTATGGAAACCTTACTCCACGGCGAAACACAACGTATAGTCGTTTCATGCCCATTTTCTGTGTGACCATAGTATTACTTCGGTTGAGTGGGCCCATTTGTGCCAAATTCTGGCTCTCCCATACTGAAGATAATATGCAACTGGCAGTTTGTCATTCGTAAGCCTTAAGTCTTGGAAGTGCTTTTATTCTTGAGGGGGGGGGGGGGGGACCAACAAGGACTCTCATCTGGATTGAGGCGAGAGAGATCCACCCCGTGCCTCCTCCTTCTCCAGGCCGAGGCTACAGTACTTTATTAAGCTTGCACTGCAACCCTAACTAAACATCGACTCTATGAGGCGTGCGCGAAACGCTACGCACCGTATGCTGAGGTCTGGTTCTGGTCGGGCGGCGAGCTACTACTACCCCACTTACTTACATTATACCCTTATCATACGACATTTTGAAGTGCTAGCATGCCATATACCAATGCTATTTTAGAGTACCTTTTATGCTTTCAGCAATATAAAGAAATTAACAATTATAGAAACAGAAGTAGATGTCATTCGTGTATCAAATAAAAAATAAGGGTCCAATCATTGGCCCCTGAGGAACACCACTTGGAATCGTTATCAGGCTAGATGTATAATTATTAACTACGACAGCCTGATACGTGGTTGACAAATAAAAGAAAACTGCCTGAGAACCTCACCTTATAAGTAACTGTGATGTGATTATAAGTTTTAAGAGTATTGTAGTCATATTTATCAAAGGCTTTACTAAAGTCAGTGAAAAAAAGACATCGATATGTCGTTTCAGTCAGTTCAGTCTGTTAGTGCTAGGTACTCGTTCCAAAGTGTAGATTCGAATGAAGAAGAACGAGCAAGAAAACTCAATCTAAACTATCCACAACCTCAAACCGCTGCAACTCCTGTGCACCAGGATCTATAGTAGACACAATCATGAAAACACTGAAACACTGAAGTCCGGCGCGTCCCAGCGACATGAATGGTTATCTTGGATCTCACAACGAAATAAATCAGATATCATATTAATTGAAGGAAAAACACCACAATTTAGTTGTGTCATTAATAGTTTTACCATTTTTATTTGGTTACGATATTTTATGCTTCTCTCTTATGCGTCAATTCCAAGCAGCTGTCAGATAGCACAGATTCTTACCGAACGTATATTTTTTTACACATATTGGTCATAACTGGTCATTGGCCATTACATAACTGGTCAAAAGCTGCGTCTGATACCTTTACTTCCCCTTTTTTGAAGGCAGGGGGGATTGTCTGATTACCTCTTCCACCCTGGACTAGACTAGAGGAAATGTCAGACTCTTACTGACTAAAAATCACCCCATTCTTTCTCCTGCTTTAGGCCAAGGCCACGGTACAGTATTGATAACACCCGCAACCCCGGCTGACTCTGACTGATCTGATTCTGATGTTAAAAGGATGGAGGATCAGGATTAAATCAAACAACATCAATGTTTAATTAAAATATTTAATTTATTTTTAATAAAATTTAATATAAAATTCTTAACAATTCCATCCTCTTAACATAAGGCGCCTGTTTCTAACTATAATTATCTATATACTAATATCATAAAGTGGTAAAATTTGTAAGTTTGCATGTAGGGGGTAATCTTTGGAACCGCTGGTCAGATTGGTAAAATTCTTTCACTGATAAATAGCTACAATGTTCCTGAGTGCTATAAAACATTATGATACGATTAAATGGAGCCAAGCAGCAGATGAACCGCGCGAGTGTAACTAGTAATATGTACAATAAATCTCAATCAGAGCAATCTATTCACTCGGGCCTTGAAGACACCCAGGTTATACTTCTAAGGATCCCACTCTTTAGCGGTTCTATGGTCTATGATAAAACTGGGGGTGAACCGCTTTGTATGTGTAGATATGATATCCATCATGAAGCGGTAGCACGGCCTCACAAAGGTAGGAGTAACGAATACGTCGCCCACCCTTTGATAAGGGATTTGGAGAATTAGGGATTGGGGAGGGATTATGTGAGGAGAGGGCTCCGGTAACCTGACTCACATGGCGAAACTCAACGCTGTGGTTGTTTCACATCGGTTTTCTGTAAGACCGTGGTATCAATCAGGTCGAGCCGACCCATTTGTTCCGAAGCATGGCTCTCCCAAAATTCTGTCTGTTTTCTCGAGAAAATATGGCTTTTAATAATAGTTCTTTAACGATAAATTTATGAAAACTTAAAACACTTATAACTACTGATATGTTTTATCGTATACAAATTTTAATTTTAATTCTTACCTATTAAGATATGTTGCAAATGTCAAAGTTTGTAGGTATGTATGTACCTTTGTTACTCTCAAAAACTACTGAGCTGATTAGGATGAAATTTGAAGCAGAGATGGAGGTGAAATGCCAAAGGTTGAAAGTATGGATGAATGGATTGTTTCAGGTTTGTCAGCCCTGTATAAGGTGCTAAAGAAATTTCTGCAACGGCTGCAATGGGTGACAAAGATGGAAAATCAGTGTGTGTTGCCAGTGATGACATAACAGAGACCCTTTTTTTGTGAGGGGTAAATCATCAAATGACTTCTCCCGCCCAGGGCCGGGCGGGAGAGAGTGTCAGACTCTTACTGACTAAAAACCCCCCTGTTCCTTCTCCTGCTCTGTGCCGAGGTCGCGGTGCCTCATTGCGCTTACCCCGCTACCCCGGCTGAACATCAGCCTTTTATGGCCCCGTCTGTGGTGGTCTATTGGCTCTTTGAGGCGCGCGCGGAACGCTACGCGCCGTACGTTCGGGCCTGGTTCTGGTCGGGCGGCGAGCTGCCCTTACTCGCCGACCGCAGGCCCGTGCTTACGGTGGCCGGAGATCGTCCCTTGATCCCCGACGCCCGTAGTGTCGCCAGTTGCGGCTGCTGGGGCGTGAGGAGGAGGATTGCTCCCTCACGCGGGCCGCCTCTCTCTTTGCGAGCAAGACTGCTTCACAAAAGGAGGAAACGGCGTCCCAGTTCCTCTCACTCCGCACCATGGCCTCGACTAAGGCCGGGCGCGAGAGGTTGCCGCCGCCGATCACTTCCCTGAGGACACGGCGGTGCTCAGCCCAGCAGGGCATACCGCTACCGAATGCTCCACCGTATCCTCTAGGTGGTCCTCACAATGACGACACTCGGGCGTTTCTTCCCGCTGGATCCAAAACAGGAACCTACCGAAGCTGCCGTGCCCGGTAAGCACCTGCGTCAGGCGGAAAATTTGCAAGCTGAAGTGGCAATGGGCAGCCAATTTCGCTAGAAAGACTGACGGCCGATGGGGGAAACACCAGAGAGAGTGCTCAAGAGACCTCCTGCTAGGTGGACCGACGACCTCGTCATAGTCAAGGGTAGCCTAGTTATGTTCAAGTATCATGTTAGTGAAGACTTGTTGTTCAGCGTGGAGGACAAAGGAGGAGGCCTTTGTCCAGCAGTGGACGTCATCCGGCTAGTGATGATTGTGAGTTATAACTGGCACAAGCCCCAAAAGCAAAAAAGGTCACATTCACGCCAGTAAAGTACTTTACTATACTTTTAAAGCATGTTCCCATAAATTTGTAAATGTGAGTGCCCTGTAACCTATTACAATTGGTTAGACTAGCAGAATGTCGGTCCTTATATCAGTTTGGAGTTGTCATGCTAACTGCCAGGTCACACTGGCGGTTCACGGGCGCTGGATCGCTTAATTCTCTATAATATGGTTGAGTTGGGCGATACTGGTGTACGTGTCATGATCGTGAACGGGCGCCGTCAGTTGGGACTGGTCAGCTCCAGACTGTCTATTGTCCTTAAGGTTACTTTATTTTTATATTTGAATAAATATTAGTGTTACACTGTTCTCACATAATTGAACGAACTGTTTGTAAAAGGAATCTGTATGTGAAACTGATTTAAAAAGAGTAACCATGGAGTTTCTTGCTCGTTCTTCTCCATCGGAATCTACACTTTGGAACGAGCAAATAGCTTCACTAAGAGGACTGACCGACAGACTGACACTATACCTATCTTCAAAATTTTGTTTGACGTTCAAAAGTGCTTGTTGGGGTCTATTGGAATAAATGATTTTTGACTTTTTGACATACGGCACCGGTTACTATACACATTTTCAATTTCTTTTTTTTAATGTCGTTACTGAACCGATTTTAATGGAAACTTGATATTGGAAAATTCATATATGTCAATGACACCTAAGCGAAATTCAATGATCAGCTTGTCAAATTATGAACTACATAGTATAAAACAAAGTCGCTTTCTCTGTCCCTACATCCTTAAAACTACTGTTTATGTACGCTTAAATCTTTAAAACTACGCAACAGATTTTGATACGATCTTTTTCAATAGATAAAGTGATTGAAGATATATTATCTATACTAATATTATAAAGAGTGTAATTTGTAAGTTTGTATGTAGGGGGTAATCTTTGGATCCCCTGGTCGGATTGCCAAAATTTTTTCACTGGTAGACAGCTACAATGTTCCTGAGTGCTATAGACTAAAACATCACACTAATACCAAAGGGAGCCGAGCAGCGGATGAAACTGCCCGAGAGAGGCTAGTGTATAATAACATCCATAAAATAGTCGAGAAACTTGGTATAAGTATTGAACCCGTGCGAAACCGAAGAAGCGGCTAGTTTGTCTTTAAAATAAATAATATGGATGACAAGATATTTTGTATGTTTTAAAATATAGTTAAAATAACAATCAAATACAGTTCAATTAACAGCTAATGATGATGATGATGATGATGTAAAAGAATTGATGTCATAACAAGCTTTGTCTTTTTTAAAACTAAACAGGAACTTATGTATATTGCAATTTATTTCAGGGCGGACAATCATTAAATGATTTCTCCAGTCCTGGGTGAGGTGAGAGAGTGTCAGACTCTTACACCCGGTTTCTGAAAAGCTTATGGCAACGTTAAAATTAACTAATCTCCTGTTAAATCTCTTGTCAAGTCATCTGATTGGTTGTTGATAATTCAGTCAACCAATCAGATGACTTGACAAGAGTTTAAATTGATTTTAAAATTGATCAGCTTTCGCAAACCGGGTGTTACTGACTAAAAACCAACACGTTTTTTCTACTGCTCCGGCTCGGACTAGGGTATAGGGGTATTAATATGCTAGGACCTGACCCTGAGTGTTGTGTCCATCTATCTGGCATCCGTACTTACACCTAAAAGGTTCAGTTGAAAACCAGCGTCAGGCAACTGTTACGTAGTTTTCTGGCATTATGCTAAACTGTAGGCCTACCACGACTTGTTAAAGCGTCAATCTTCTGGTTGAGAAAGAGGGATGGAGCTATACAAGGTTATACTCTTTCTCGCCCGGAATGGGTATACCGGGAACGACTTTACCGGGTAGCCCCACATAACCATCTCCCGTCCCCCGACGGGAAGGGTATGCGTATTGGAATAGGTGAGAAAGAGGGATGGAGCTATACAGCTTTTATAGCTCCATCCCTCTTTCTCAACCAGAAGATTGACGCTTTAACAAGTCGTGGTAGGCCCTCTGGATCTGGACCTGTTTGGCACAGCCGTGAGACATTAATATTGATAATGTTATTTCCTTTTTTAACGCTACTTGAGATTGTAATTGTTTATTTTATATTGGTAATGCTTCATGGAGTGCCAAATAAACATATTTTCTTTCTTAGAAAGTGAAAATATCCCTATCTGCGTATTTAGAAGCCTCAAGGAACCAATAGACTACTACAAATGGGGCCTCATACAGATGTTCAGTTAAGTCAAGCATTATGTACCGCGGCCCTATCTCGAAGCAGGATAAGGAACGGGATGGCTTTGAGTCAGTAAGAGTCTGTCACTCTCTCTTTCAACACACAGGGCAACAGAAGCAATTTGATTAGGATCCCCCTTCTAAAAAAGTGTATTTATAGGAACATTTTTTTTCTAAACCTTATCTTTGTAATCAGAATTGAAAACGATACTACTATTATAAATATTTACATTTAGTCCTGTGTCTTTTCTTTTAGTTTCAGGTCGCTGTGGCGCTCCCATACGCCAGTCATCTTCACTAATCTCATAATCCATAGGGCTAGCAGTACTATCTACTTCATTTACATTTACTGAATCTTTTTTGGTTACTAAGTCTATTTTAATTTTATCAGGCTGAGAACTCTGTCCACTACCATATACGAAATCATGTACATAGACTTCAATAGTATCTTTTATAAGTATAGTAATATTTTTCCCGTTTTTAGGCAAACCTGGGGTGCATACGGCGACGTAATCCCAACTGCCATCAATGCACCTCATGAATGGCAGAATTCCGGTGGAGTAATAGTTTGGACTGTTGCATTCTGGTCTGACGACTGTTCCCGTTGGCTCGTAGGTGTTGCATTTACGCTGACCTTCGACAGTGCCCGAGACGAGGCAGTGATAGTGCACTGATGGGTGAGGGTCCAACTTGCAGTAACCTTAGACAAAAAAAAACGTTCTGTAAAAATGAGTTGGACCTAATATAGCTCCTTGCAAAACACCTTAGTAACAGTTTCAATTCTTAAACGAAAATACAAAAAAATACACAGAATCATTACATATCAAATCAAATCAAATCAAAATCATTTATTCCAAATAAACCATAAATAGGTACTTTTGAAACGTCAAAATAGAATAGTAGTCTGTCAGTCTGTTCGTCAGTGAAGCTAGGTGCTCGTTCCAAATTGTAGTTTCGAATGGAGAAGAACGAGCAAGAAACTCCATCGTTACTCTTTTAAAAAAAATATTTGTTTTACAATTCATCAATAATACATTTTTTATACATTACTGTACCCCTATGTGAGAACAATGCAGAGACAAGTTGTTAATAAAAAGGAACAAATTATGGTCTATTTAATCTATCATTAAAATTTTAATCCTTTGTTGTCTCGTACATGGCGCTCACATATGCGTACTCACAATCCAAAAGAATGCTTCTATATAAACTCATTCAAGGTTTCATTAATTTTGAGAATTTTAATAACTACTGACTACATATTTGAGAATTGTCCAGTGGAGCCGAACCAACATGCTGCCAGGCATTCTTATCCTCAATATAATCTGAAAGTTTGTAGTATGCCTGTCTACATAATTCGCGTTTAATATAAGTTTTAAATTTTCGTTCATTAAGATTTAATACACTTCTTGGAATTTTATTGTAACAATTTACACAGAACCCCATAAAGGATTTCTGTACTTTGGACAGACGGAATCGTGGCACAGCCATATCTTAAGTATTCGGACATTATCACAGTTAATAAACTATTTTAAGAAAATAATTAAATTTTTCTCTATTACAAAACATGCCAACTTAATCGAAAGCTTACGACAAGTCACAGAGATAGGACTTAAAATTCTATACTTACGGACACATTTTGGGATGTCATTGGACCATGTACCATCCTGGCAGAAGACTATATCAGTTCCTAGTACACCATAACCTGGACGGCAAGTAACGGTGAGCTGCAGAGCTTGAAAACCTTGACCTGGGACGGCGTATGGTGCGTTGGACACCACATAAGTACCGTGGTCTGGGTATGGTGGCAGTATACATTTACCCGACTGAAGTGGCCTGAAATTTCAAAACAAATGCATTTAAATAATAACTATCAATAACAGGTACGGTGGCTGATCACTGTCACCTGCTTGGAAACCTTGAAGTGTTTCCAACATGGTGACTGAAGTAGTTCAGTCACCATGTTGGAAACATTTTTGGAGTGTGACACAGTAAGCGTAAAGTGGAGTTTGACACAGTAACAACCGGTTTCCGAAAGGCCGATCAATATTAAAATCAATTTAATCTCTTTTCGAGTCATCTGATTGGTTGACTGAATTATCAACCACCAATCAGATGACTTGACAAGAGATTTAACAGGAGATTAGTTAATTTTAGCGTTGACAAGACTTTCAGAAACCGGGTGTAAGTGTAATGAAATGGATAGAAGTTAAAAAGTCAAAAGTCAATTATCATTTATTTCAACTAGACCCTTGCAGGTACTTTTAAACGTCAAAAAAACCTAATCGAATTTACACTTTGGAACGAGCAAATAGCTTCACCAAGGGGACTGACCGACAGACTATCATTTTTAATCTTTGAGGTTCAAAAGTGTCCGTAAGGGTCTAATTGAAATACATGAATTTAATTTTGACTTTTGACTTAGTCTTTTGACTTAGTCTTTTGACTTAGTCTTTTGACTTTGACTTTAGACTTAGTCTTTTGACTTTAACTTTGGCTTTTGACTATTGACTCTTGTTTACCTAGTGGTGACTGAAGGGTTGCTTGGCAGCTGCCTGTTGCATAGCTCTTCAGATTCATCGGAACCGTCAGCGCACTCTTTTATCTGTGAAATAAAATTCTTGTAAATATTTTTATGGTAAAGGCCTGGTAACAAATGGTTTACCTGATGGTAAGAAATCAGCGTTTCCAAAAGATACTCAAAATGATAGACTAGCATTTTGAGTCTCTTTTGGCAAAATGACTCACAAATGTGTTATCGGACTTTTGGGAAAGAGGAAACTGGGACTGAGGATAAACTGAGGGTTGTGGATGAGGGAGAGAAAATATTTGGCTTCTGATACCCTCATTTTCACAACATAACATTTTCTGTAAGGACACGTGAGTAAGGTTGCCGGAGGTACAATCCTTCCCCTCCCCTCCATGGCTCCCAAATCCAATAATTTCCGAAACCATAATCCCAAATGCTGGCAACGCACGCGTATATCCTCTGTGGTTCCAGGATAGGTCGGCAAACGAGCAGACGGATTACCTGATGCGCCACCCATGGAACCGCGCCACAACGGAGAAGTTACGAGTGCGTTACCAACTTCTTGAGTATGGAGTTTTTGCCATTAAGGAGATATTGGGGAAGGATTGGGCCTCCGTTAACCTCACTCACACGGCAAAACACAACGCTGTGATTGATTCACGTCGGTTTTCTGTGAGGCCGTGGTATCACTCCAGTCGAGCCGACCCATTCGTACCGAAGTATGGCTCTCTCACACTTTAATTTAACAATTAAACAATTTTATTTAATTCTTGTTCTGGAGTGGAGACCACGTCTAGGCAAACGTAGTGTAAGGCGCCCTCCAGCTAGGTGGACTGACGACATCCGCAGAGTGGCTGGAAGTGGTTGAATGAGAAGAGCTGAACATCGAGCTCAGTGGCGTGCAACTAGAGAGACCTATGTCCAGCAGTGGACGACATCAGGCTGATGATGATGATGATGATGATGATGATGATGATTTAATTCATAACTTACCCCATTACAATCAGCTCCTTGATCTACACAAGCGCCGTAAGCGCATTGAAATAGATATGAGGGGCAAGTCTTCGCAGCGCATGCGCGGACAGTCTCATCCGACCCATCGGGACAGTCTGGTGTGCCATCACAGTGGTTCGACGATGGAATCGTCCCGCCATTGAGACAGCGGAATTGACCTCTGTGGGTGTTAAAATAGTTGGTTACCAGAGGCCCTAACGTTTGCCACGCTCCCCGATCCTTAAATATCCTAAAACTTATTCCCAAAAAAGCCAGCAACGGACTCATAATGTCTTTGAGTTGCAAGTGTCCATGGCGGCGCTGATTGCTTACCATCAGGTAATCCGTCTGCGCGTTTGCCGACCTAAAGCATGAAATAAATATTGAAAAAAAAAATGTTTATTACTAAAAAGTATTTTACATTATGGTTATACGCTAGATCCTACACTTTGAGTTCACTAACTTTTAAAATTTTCGCGTTTTATGTTAACAACATATTTTAAAACTTTTAAACGTTTGCCTCTTTTGTTATATTTTAAAACTATTTAAATACTTTGGAAGGCTTTTTTTTGTTTTCTTTTTTTGTGAGGGGAAAATCATCAAATGACTTCTCCTGCCCAGGGTCGGGCGGGAGTGAGTGTCAGACTCTTACTGACTAAAAACCCCCCTGTTCCTTCTCCTGCTCTGGGCCGAGGTCGCGGTGCCTCATTGCGCTTACCCCGCAACCCCGGCTGACTTTGGAAGGCTTGACGTTTCGACCTCGTTGCACAGGTCGTGGTGGCAAGCAGACCGTTGTTGTCGGATGTTAATATTGAGTCTACCCGGAACCACCATTTTGTGCTCTTTTTTTATTATTCACAGTTATTTTTGTTTTTATTGTATAGTTTGTGCCTGGTGTTGTAACAAGCGTTGCCAGGCGTCCGGATAAAGCCGGACATAGGTAGGCTTTTTGATTGCAATTGGTGTCCGGCCTTTTCCGCTTTTGTTAGGCTTTTTACCTAAACTTTTCACAATCGCAAACTAGTGAAACGAAACACCGGACATGGCTGGAGCGAAGCAAAAACTTGAGATTTATTAATTATGTCATAAGAATTCAACAAGATTTATGACAATAATCAAAAATGCTTGATTTAAATTAAATCTTGTCGTACCTATTGAGATACAAAATCCTTAAGAATGTAGGGTGTCAAATGTCCGGCTAAACGGGCTGGTCTGTCCGGCTATAAGGCCTAGCGACCTGGCAACCCTAGTTGTACCGAATAAATGTTTTTTCTTTCTTTCTTTTATTATCTTACCTCGTTTCATCAGTCTCATTCCTGCATCTTGGTAATAGTTCATCAGACTGGTCGGCGCACTCAACCTTATTATTGCACGGAGCTGTACCGTCCACGCATGCGCCGTACGTACACCGGAACCAATTCGGTTGACATCTGTCAAAGTCAATATTGTTAATTATTAGGTAGTTTCATAGGTCAAAAATAAATTAATTCGACGTTCAATACAATAAAAAATTGAAAAATAACTATAGGTAGGTACTTTTATTCATCGATCGTCGATACATTAAGTCTACACAAATTTTATAAAGAGGTAAGTTTGTATGTTTTGTAAGTTTGTATGTAGGGGGTAATCTTTGGAACCGCTGGTCGGATTGCCAAAATTCTTTCACTGATACATAGCTACAATGTTCCTGAGTGCTATAGGCTATAGAACATCACGCTACGATTAAATGGAGCCGAGCAGCGAGTGAAAATGCGTGAGAGTAGCTAGATATTTTGTAGCTAATTATCAAGAAATAAGTAAGCTATTTGACGCAAAAATACTATGACGTCATAGCTCAGTGCTTAATACAAATTTCATAGAAAAGTATCGTTTTTGACATTTGGATAAAAGTATTGAATTTTACTAGTTGGAAACTACCGTATTGACATAAGCATGGAGGCTAGAGAGAAAGAGATCAACCGCTGAAGAAAATAGTGTTCCAGAAATTACATCACACGTCATCAGCCTATAAGTGCCCACTGCTGAGCAAAGGCCTTTTCTCACAGGGAGAAGGTTTGAGCTTTAACCACCACGCTTGCTCAATGCGGATTAGCGATTTCAAACTTATAATTAGAAATTATAAGTCCAGGTTTCCTCACAATGTTTACCTTCACCGTATGTCAGTGGTGTTTAAATAACCATAGAAAGTACATGTAACTCGGAAAAAGTCATATTTAGTATTTTTATTTTACTTTTTCCCTTTTATTTTAATCATAGGTAGTTTGTTTTTTGTTTTATAGTAGGATACTAATCCAACAATTATATTATATGAAACACATTTTTGTATTTAACTTAGCTTAAGTTTCTGCACTGATTGGCGTCATGCGTTGGTGTCGGCCATCGCTGAAAATCAGCGCCGCGACACTGTCTCGTATGGGGTCGCTGCATAATGCTGAGCGAGGGCCATTTCGCGAGCTCGGACGCATATTTTTCTCCTACCCTCTACTTTTGTTATATTGTAGTATAATTCTTAATGTATTTTTATTTTTACCTTTTTTTTTATTATTGTTCGTTTTGTGTCTTTATGCGTCCCAGACGCGAATAAATACTTTTTGTTTGTTTGTTTGTTTATATTGAAATGTTATTAGTCAGAATCCAAAAAATGGGCAACGTGATTGAAACTCAGGTCCTTTAGCGGCGCCGATTGCTTAACATCAGGTAATCCATCTGTCGTTAGTTGTCTAATGATATGCTAAGTAAAACTCACTTAGTTTTTCTGCAAAGCGCGTGGGTTTCATCGCTGCCGTCTGGACAGTCCACCACACCGTCACACATGCCGTCGAAAGAAATACAAGTACCGTCTCTGCATCTCCACTGGTCTTTACTGGAAGCAAAGAACAAAAGCAGTCTATACTGAGCCAGCATATCCGAGAGATATGCTTAAGCACGAATAAGTCGGCTCGACCGGAATGATAACAAAGCCTTACAGAAAACCACTGTCTTATTGCACGGTTGTCGCAGTGGCTGGGCAAACGTATCGCGGGTTCGGAACAACACTTTGTATAATCCACAAATTGTTGTTCCTGGTCTTTGTGGCTTGTGTATGTGAATTTTGACGTTTCAAAAGTACCTATTTATGGTTGAGTTGGAATGAATGAATGAAAGTGAAGTGTGGGAGAGTCATGCTTCGGCACGAATGGGTCGGCTCGACCGAGAGATACCACGGCCTCACAGAAAACCGGCGTGAAACAACCACAACGTTGTGTTTCGCCGTGTGAGTGAGGTTACCGGAGGCCCAATCCTTCCCCTACCCCAATCCCTTCCCAATCCCTAAATCCCCAAAATCCCAATCCTTAAAAGGTCGGCAACGCACTCGTAACTCCTTCTTTGTTGCGGGTGTCCATGGGCTACGCCGATTGCTTACCATCAGGTTATCCATCTGCTCGTCTGCCGTCCCTTCACATAAAAAAAAAATAATTTGTATATTTGTAAATGCGCCCACAACACAGAAGAAACTTTTACCCCCGGTTTCCGAAAGGCCGATCAATGTTAAAATCAATTGAATCTCTTGTCAAGTCATCTGATTGGTTGACTGAATTATCAACAACCAATCAGATGACTTGTGACAAGAGATTTGACACCTAGTTAGTTGATTGGTAACGTTTATTTTAAACTCGCTGTGTGAATGAGGTTACCTAAAGCTCTATCTTGCCCCAATCCAGACAAAACTGGTAACTCAATAGAAACTTCTCTATTATTGTGGGAAAATGTGATTTTGCTTACCATCAGGTACAGTGTCAATTTTCGAATCGGGAGAAGGATTATTTATGTTCTTTTTAAGGCAGCCAACGCTCTACCTCTAACATTACTGGCGTTGCAAGTGCCATGAGGGGCGATGATTGCTAACCATCAGGTAATGACCCACATGGTTTGCTGTCATATTCAATAAAAATTTGACTTACCGACAACCAGTAGACTGTCTTCTAGACCTATGTAAAACTAGGTCATCCGACAAACCGGACCTGGAAATAAACAGTTACGAAATTATTGTTTGATCAAAACATTGAGACAAATGCGTTAATTAATAAAAAATAAATTAATATGAATGATATATGTAGATCAGCAGCTTTCGAAACGGTTTGTGATTCAGTAGGTACGCTTAGTCAAGGCGGATTGATTGTACGATTTTACGAGGGAACAGATGTACATCCACCTTTATGTATGTAGGTATGTTAATGAGTCATCGAGCTTGAAACAGCTACTTTATATTGGATTCATGTATTTGAACCAAATAATGTATAAAAAACGAGCGCTTATCCCGCCGACAAACTGTTACGCAGTTTGGTGGGTGTATGTTATGTAAAACATGTTTGGTCCATAATAAATGATTTATTTATTTATTTATTTATTTATTTATTTATTTATTTATTTATTTATTTATTTATTTATTTATTTATTTATTTATTTATTTATTTATTTATTTATTTATTTATTTATTTATTTATTTATTTATTTATTTATTTATTTATTTATTTATTTATTTATTTATTTATTTATTTATTTCTTTCTTTCTTTCTTTCTTTCTTTCTTTCTTTCTTTCTTTCTTTCTTTATTTATTTATTTACATACATACAGACATAGCTAGCCTAAAAAATCCACTAGGTTTCCTACCGATGTTTTGCTTCGCCGGAGGTATGCTAATGGAGTCAAAATAATCTTAGCAATTACCGTTATTGATTATAGTATAAAACAATACTTACGATCCAAATAAACATTTCTGTTCATCCTCTCCGCCGGGACAATCTGCATTGCCGTCACAAGCTGAATTGACGCTGATGCATGTCCCATCGGAACAGGAGAACTCGTCTAGACTGAAAATGTTAAATGCATAGGTACATTCAAATATAAACTCACTAGCGACCCCTGTTTTAATGGCTGTTATTGTACGTATAAATCCTCCTCTTCAATAACTCTGTCTATTAAAAAACCCGCATCAAAATCCGTTGCGTAGTTTTAATGATTTAAGCGTACATAGGGATATAGGGACAGAGAGGAAGACTTTGTTTGATACTATGGAGGTATGAGGAACAGGGTGGAAAGTTCCTCATCCTCCATTGAAAAGGGAGGATCCTCCGACCAGGCGAGGTGTTCGTGCCTGGTGGGCTACTGCCCGACGGTTGTTGTCGGGATATCTGTATGGGTGCTAATTGTGTGGAAAACTCTTATAGCGCGATGTAGACACTTGCACGTGATTGGTGCTGTTTGTTAAGGTAGTGCGCTAGATGTCGCTACAATACTATGTAGTGACAAGTCAGTGATCTTTACCCAGTTAACCTTGACAACTGATGTCAAGGATCCTTACTATCTCATTTTTTTTCACAATATTCATGTCATGAATAGAGACGGATTAAACTTGGTAAACGGTCCAGGAAAGCACCTCATATGCGTCTTCATACGGCGCGTTGCGTTCCGCCTTAAAGAGCCAATAGACCACCACCGACGGGGCCCTACAAGCCTGATGTTCAGCCGGGGTTGCGGTGTAAGCGTAATGAGGCACGATAATGAAGCAGTGAGTAGGAGAAGGGAGGAGGTTTTTAGTCAGTAAGAGTCTGACACTTCCTCTTGCCTCACACTTGCCGGAGAGCGAGGGTCCTCTAACTGTTACTGCTTAAATCTACCTACTAATCTCTGTATCCTTAATAAACACAACGTTGTGTTTGTTTCACGCCGGTTTTCTGTGAGGCCGTAGTATCACTCCGGTCGAGCTGACCCATTCGTGCCGAAGCTTGGCTGTGCCACACCTATTGTTAGTGGAGCTTTATACGGCATGTTCACGTGAGTGATTTGTCGTGAATTAAAGATGGTAATGGTCGTGATTTGAGACCCGAATATTATTTTAAAATGGCTTACCTGCACGAATTGATCCTTTCTCTAGCCACTGAACTGAATGCAGGAGATGTGGCTGAAACAAAAGAAAAAATTATTATTTTTTTACAAATGCTCAAACCTTCTCCGTGTGAGAAGAGGCTTTTAGTCGTGGTGGCCCGGAGGTTAAAGGGCCCGCTTCTCACGCATGAGAATGCGGGTTCGAAAACTGGACAAGTGCCAATGTGACTTTTTCCGAGTTACATGTACTTTCTATGATTATTTAGACACCACTGACATACGGTGAAGGTAAACATCGTGAGGAAACCTGGACTTATAATTTCTAATTACATAAGTTTGAAATCGCCAACCCGCAAGCGTGGTGATTTAATGCTCCAACCTTCTCCGTGTGAGAAGAGGCCTTTGCTCAGCAGTGGTCACTTGTCAGCTGATGATGATGATGATGAAATAAATCGTTGATATTGCAGTAAATTAATATAAGCCAGTATCTTGGGTACCAGTATGGAAGGTTAGTCCTTAAAAAAATTAATTAATTTAATTATATGAAACCATACTTTAAAAATAACAAAATAAAAATAAAGGAGTATAGCAAATATCATCATTTTTTATCGCATAGGTCCCCATGGACATCCACAACGTGCAAGGAGCTAAGGAATGTATTGTTGGCCTTTTGGGGATAAATATTTAAGAATTGGAAAGGGATGGGGGAGGGGCAGGGATGGGGCCTCCGGTAACCTCACTCACACGGCGAAACACAACTTTGTGGTTGTTTCACGCCGGTTTTCTGTAAGGCCGTGGTATCACTCTCCATCGAAGTACAAACTTGGCCCATCCACTCTTAAAAAAATTATGTCATGTATGAGTAGCTTTAGGTGTATGGGACTTTACCAAAACGGAATTTCCATGGTCTTATAACAAATACCAATACATGAATGCGTCACCGTGATCATCGTCATTGAGAACACAATCTATACTAATATTATAAAGAAGTAATTTGTAAGTTTGTATGTTTGTAAGTTTGTATGTAGAGGACAATCTTTGGAACCGCTAGTCGGATTGCCAAAGTTCTTTCACTGATAGATAGCTACAAGGTTCCCGAGTGCTATAGGCTATAAAACATCACGCTACGATTAAATGGAGTCGAAGAGCGGGTGAAACCGCGCGAGAGTAGCTAGTTTAGATTCAATGACGATATACTATATACACATAAAATCCATATAAAATAATATAGGTCGGTAGATATCGAACTTTTGATTGTGAAACTGATTTAAAAAGAGTAACCATGGAGTTTCTTGCTCGTTCTTCTCCATCGGAATCTACGAGTACACTTTCGACGAACCGACAGACTGACACATGTTATCTTAAAAAAAATTTTTTAAGCTTTTGATCGAAACGCCACGCAACAACTAAGGTCAAAAATCGAAATGACTATCACAACATAGTATAAAACAAAGTCGCTTTCTCTGTCCCTATATCCCTATGTATGCTTAAATCTTTAAAACTACGCAACGGATTTTGATGCGGTTTTTTAATAGATAAAGTGATTGAAACCGACTAAATGATGTAACAAATAAATGTATTTTATTAAAACTGATTGAAAAAGAGTAACCATGGAGTTTCTTGCTCGTTCTTCTCCATAGGAATCTACACTTTGGAACGAGCAAATAGCTTCACTAGAGGACAGACGGACAGACTGACACGCTTAATTTTATAGCTCTTGAAATACTTTTTTCCTTTTTTTGCCTGACGTTCAAAAGTGCCTCATGTGGTCTAATTGAAATAAATGATTTTGACTTTGATTGAACAGGGAGGTTTTTATGTGAAACTATTTATTCTCGCGCGGTTTCATTTAATCGTAGTGTGATGTTTTATAGCCTATAGCACTCAGGAACATTGTAGCTATCTATCAGTGAAAGAATTTTGGCAATCCGACCAGTGGCAGCGGTTCCAAAGATTCAAACTTACAAATACCTCTTTATAATATTAGTATAGATAACATCCATTGAATAGAGGAGGAATTTAGTGTCAGGATTGGACCCGTGCGAAGCCGAGTTAGGTCGCTAGTATGCAATTAGAATATTTCGAAACAACGGCTTTGCCCTCTGTAGAAAGAAACCTATAAACTATAATCTATCTCTGTGCCTAATTTCATTCAGATCCTTAAGTACAATACCACCTACGTATCTTGTCGAGTCTGAAGTTAGCCGATTAGCTGCGCAGTACACAATTTTGTTCCTAAAAGATCCATTGCGCAGACAAACGGCTAACTTCAGACTCGCCAAGATACGGTGGCCGTACTGTAGTTTTTATATAAAAGAGATCCATCTGAACTTACAAACTTTCGCTCTTATCCTACTAATCCTATTATCCAACTAATATTATAAATGTACCTACCTAATGTTTAGCGGAGGCCCAATCCTTCCCCTACCCCAATCCCTAAATCTCCAAATCCCTAATCCCTAAAAGATGGGCACTCGTAACTCCACTGTTGTTGGGGATGTCCATGGACGGCGCTGATTGCTTACCATCAAGTAATCCGACGGCTCGTTAGCCGACCTATCACATAAAAAAAATGTGAAAGTTTACGAGAATATAATGGGTGTATGTTTGTTATTCTTTCGCGCTTACCGACCGTTGTGGTTAAAATATGGTATGAAGATAGGTAATAGGTACTCTGTATCAACACATAGGCTTTATTTTTTATTTATTTATTTTATTATATAGGTACTCCAACGACTTATTCACTATAACATATAACATAAACAATAGTACATAGATTATCATGATGAATTTTATTTATGTTTAAGCTGTGTACTTCTTTAAGTGACAACACTTAAAAAGATAAATAAAATGTGTAACTATGAGATCTGCGTCAAATTAAAATAAAGAAAATAAATATGAAGTGGCTTTATATCAACATACCAAGCACGGAAGGGCGGAAACTAATATATGTATATTAGTAGGCCATATACAAAATCACGTGGGCAGTCACGTTTATTTTTTTCGAAATAAAAACTTAACAAACGAGCTGAAAACTGGCTTTTAAGAATTTAGCAGATATTGCCAATACGGCCATACCGTTATTGTAATAAAACTGGTTTCTTTTAAGTATATTTTCGTTTGATAACAGGTGAACACAAGCGCGGATCCAGACTTCAAAAAAGGTTGTGGTCACAGCTACTAGAAAATCGGCTAAGTACGAGTCGGAGCATGGACATGCTCATTAACAATCATGCAAATCGTTTATGAACTTATGAATTAGATTATTTCCTTTTTCTGAGCATCAGGACTTTGGCCTTAGGAATGTAAATAAACTTAGGAAGATGTCGGACACGATTTCTTCTAATGTCTAAAAGTCAGTTTCGATCCAAACCTATTTCAATCACAAGTGTATTAAGGTTGTGGGCATGCCCGGTGGATCCGCCCTTGGGTGAACAAGGATTTATAAAATCCCAAATAATCCACAAGAGGTAACGCACTTGTAGGCGACATCCTCCCTCTGTTTTAATTTTCTGCACCACCACCCCACTTCCCTCCCCTGGAGTAATATCAAAAATCAATTACATAGATTCTGTTTGTCTTCTTGTCTTATCTAACCTCGACCTGATGGTAAGCAAAACGGGCATTCTACATCCGCAATTATACCAAAGCTGCCACTAGTGCGTTGCAAGCTGTTTTGAGATTATGCTGATTAAAAAAAACATTGCCCAAATCTAAGATTTTCTCCTGTGTCGTGGTTGCGTTTACAAACATACAAATTTACATACACATCACACCCTGACTCGAAACAACAATTCGTGGATCACACGTTACACAGCAGCCAGTTGCCCAGCCACTAGGGATTCGGTATTCTCATACACACGGCTGCGAACAACATTAGCGTTGTTCACGCTGGTTTTCAGTCAGGCCGTGATATCACTCCGGTGTTTACACGGCTGCAAACCACGCCAGCGTTGTTTTACGCCGGGTTACTGTGAGGCCGTGTACAGTACAACACTTAACTAACAAATCAATCAACACGACTAGTTAATTGTCCTATGATTATTAAATTGAACAAAAAAACAACAAGGAAATCATGAAAATAATTATCTAATATGATAAATAATGATGAAATATGATTTTAAGATGATTATGGAATAAAAAAACCGGCCAAGAGCGTATCGGGCTACGCACTGTGTAGGGTTCCGTAGTTTCTAGTCTGCCACAATAATTATCCCCACTTAAGAGTTATTGTAAATTTTAAAATCGCTATTCATCGTAAGGTAGCAAGATAACAGCGCCATCTCTTAGGGAATTGTGTAACTAATTTACACAAACTCGACGGGTGATGTATGTTGAGTTTTTGGTGGTTATTTTGGATTGCGCAGCCGTGCTTCGGCACAAATGGGTCGGCGCTACCAGAGTGATACCACGGCCTCACAGAAAACCGGCGTGAAACAACCACAGCGTTGTGTTTCGCCGTGTCACCCGAGGTTAGGTTACCCGAGGCCCAATTCTTCCCCTCTCTCAATCCCGCCCATGGGCGGCGCTGATTGCTTACCATCAGGTAATCCGTCTGCTCGTTTGCCGAACTATCATATGAAAAAACACTCCCCACTTTACGTGTAGGGGACTAATAAAATATTTTTATCCACTTTTTATTTTACCACCTAGTCGACGTGATTGATACCTACCATAAGTGCCAAATTTCAGCTTTCTAGTCCTAACGTTTACTTAGAATATCCGCGGACAGACAGACAGACAGACAGACATACATGGCGAAATTATAAGCGTCCCTATTTTACAAGGGAACCCTAAAAAAGTATAGTCTATCTTTACTTTTTTTTTAATCCATCATCATTGATTTTCAACCCAACAAATTATCAATCACAATCTAGGTATACTCGATACGTACCTACGTAATTACGATTAAGTTTTTTTCTACCTTGCCGTGTTGTGTTTTG